CCGATGACAAAGAGAAAATATATTATTAAGTTGAAACTTTACAGCAGGGCTAATCCATAATTTTTTTAACGTTTTCTTTTTGGGCCAGAGTGCCTTTATTCCTGAGAGGGTGTTCAATTGAGGGATAGAGGGGAGGACATTGCCTGAAAACTTCTGCGGGCTCGGGTTTCGAACCCACCTACTAGCTACTGTAGTGACAACCCACCTACTAGCTACTGTAGTGACAACCCACCTACTAGCTACTTTAGTGACAACCCACCTACTAGCTACTGTAGTGACAACCCACCTACTAGCTACTTTAGTGACAACCCACCTACTAGCTACTGTAGTGACAACCCACCTACTAGCTACTGTAGAGACAACCCACCTACTAGCTACTGTAGTGACAACCCACCTACTAGCTACTGTAGTGACAACCCACCTACTAGCTACTGTAGTGACAACCCACCTACTAGCTACTGTAGTGACAACCCACCTACTAGCTACTGTAGTGACAACCCACCTACTAGCTACTGTAGTGACAACCCACCTACTAGCTACAACCCACCTACTAGCTACTGTAGTGACAACCCACCTACTAGCTACTGTAGCGACAACCCACCTACTAGCTACTGTAGGGAGGCGTGTGGCGCAGTGGATAGAGCCTTGGTGTTGGGATCAGGGGTCACAGGTTCAAACCCCACTGCAGTCAGCATGTCGTTGTGCCCCTGGGCAAGACACTTCACCCCAAATTGCTCCTGTGGGGATTGTCCACAGTACTGAATGTATGTAAGTCGCTTTGGATAAAAGCGTCTAACAAGTAACATGTTATGTAATGTAGCGACAACCCACCTACTAGCTACTGTCGTGACAACCCACCTACTAGCTACTGTAGCGACAACCCACCTACTAGCTACTGTCGTGACAACCCACCTACTAGCTACTGTAGCGACAACCCACCTACTAGCTACTGTAGCGACAACCCACCTACTAGCTACTGTAGCGACAACCCACCTACTAGCTACTGTAGCTACTAGCTACTGTAGCGACAACCCACCTACTAGCTACTGTCGCGACAACCCACCTACTAGCTACTGTAGCGACAACCCACCTACTAGCTACTGTAGCTACTAGCTACTGTAGCGACAACCCACCTACTAGCTACTGTAGCGTCAAACCCACCTACTAGCTACTGTAGCGACAACCCACCTACTAGCTACTGTAGTGACAACCCACCTACTAGCTACTGTAGCGACAACCCACCTACTAGCTACTGTAGCGACAACCCACCTACTAGCTACTGTAGCGACAACCCACCTACTAGCTACTGTAGCTACTAGCTACTGTAGCGACAACCCACCTACTAGCTACTGTAGCTACTAGCTACTGTAGTGACAACCCACCTACTAGCTACTGTAGCGACAACCCACCTACTAGCTACTGTAGCGACAACCCACCTACTAGCTACTGTAGCTACTAGCTACTGTAGCGACAACCCACCTACTAGCTACTGTAGCGACAACCCACCTACTAGCTACTGTAGCGACAACCCACCTACTAGCTACTGTAGCGACAACCCACCTACTAGCTTAAACTCCACGTATATTAAAACGTGTATCATAAAAAAGCCGCCTACGGATAATCACATTCCTGCAGATGCCGATGTTATACTTGGATAAGGCGGGGATTTAATCTAGTTTCTCTTTATGTTATGTAAGACCATAACTAACTATATATATATACTAATGCTGTAAAAATTATCGTGTTAACGGCGGTAATTAATTTTTTAATTAATTGCGTTAAAAAGCATTTAACTCTTGTGCAGAATGGCCCGCCCCATACAGTAAAACAATATACATAAAGAAATGGAATATTTTGGACAGTTTGAATGGTGATTAATCATGATTAATTAATTTTTATTTATATATATATATATAGGGGAGGGATGAACCCCTCTTTAATGGTCTCACATGCAGAGCACACAGTGAAATGTTTTCTCTGCTTTGAACCCATCCTAGCACCAGGAGCCAAGTGGGCAGCTATTGTACAGCGCCCGGGGAGCAATGGGAGTGAGGGGTGTCCGGTGCCTTGCTCAAGGGCACCACGGCAGGGCAGGAGCTGAACTGGGACGTGAATGAGAACATTTATATTTTGGAGCTTTACAGCGTGGAGCACGGAAGAGGTTTCGGGCTCCAGGTGAATTTTATTTTTTAGATCTGACCGAAAATGTATTTTTTGTTCCCGAGGTTAATCTGAGATTTTTGACTTTAATGTCAGAATAATAATCTCATAAATCGCAAATACCAATTCACATGTGGCTTCAATCGACTTCTGTTGTGCAGATCTCTTTGTGCCAGGCCAATTTGATATTGCTTGCACTTCATAAATTGAGAATTTAACATCCATTTTGAGAATTAAAAGCAAAATGTAAGCTTCAGAAACTTGATATATTAAATCTGATAAAGAAAAATCACCAGAACACAGAATCACTTCTACAAATATAACGGTTTTAAAATGAAAATGTGTGTTTTCTGAGACATTAAAGCAACGTTTTGTGAAAATACACACGTCTGTTGTCACCAAGGCCTCGTGCGTTTGGTGACTAGGTGTAAAAACTACTCAGATCCTTTACTTAAAAGTAATCCTATGCAACTCAAGCAGATACTTTCTAAAATACTGTGTAGTACAGTCCTGTGTTACATCATGTGTTTTTATACGCGTTTTAATATGAAAGCTTGTTAAACTAGTAAAACAACAATAGTTGCCTCTGAAAATAAGTGGAGTAAAGTATAGTGGCATAAAATGGAAATACTCGAGTACTATTTTGTCATGATGTTACTTTACCGAAGTATTCACTTAGCAGAATATCACTAGGCAATAATGATGAAGACAAATGTTTGAAGATTTTGTGTTGACTGCTTATTGGCGAGGTTGATAAAGTTTCATTAATGACCGGCTTTTTCTTACACTATCCCTTACTTAGAAATGACCAGAATACAGCCAACGATGATGTAAAAAAATATAGAGATTAAAGAGAAATACATACTGGAATTTGTGTTAATACAAAAAGTTGAATAATTCCAGCTGCTGAGTCGAACATGTCATTTTAGAGCAAAATTAAGCATGTGACGGCCATCATTTGAGCAAAAAATACAAGGATTTATAACTTTAAATGGACAAAAATAGATTAAATATCAGTGTTACAATGCCATTTAAGTTCTATCTTAAATATCTATGTAAATAATAATTAATAATTCCAGTTACTGATGGTTAAATGTGTCATTTTAGGCCAAAATTGAGCATGTGACGGTCATTGTTTGAGGAAAAAGAAGACCAAGGATGTGGAAAAAATATTGAGATTAAAGAAAAATATATATTGGAGTTTATGTCGTTAGAAAGAGATTAATTATTCCAGCTGCTGAGAGTTAAACGTGTCAATTAAGACCAAAAAAATGCACGGTGCGTTGAATGCATAAAGTCAGAGGTTTATGGCAAAAACAATCACTAGAAAACGGCCAAAGATGAATTAGGGCTGTGCAATTAATCGTATTTTAATCTCGATTTTGGCTTGCAACGATTACGAAAACAACGTAATCGAAATAAAACGATTAATAATTTTATTTAAAAAAAGAAAGTCTTTTTTTCAGTTGAATGACTTAAAGTTCAAGGTAATCAAACTGTTTGTCAATAAATGTATGTTTTCAAAGTAAATGGATGACGTTTTTTAATATACCAAATATTGACTCAAAATAATCGTGATTATGATTTTTGCCATAATCGCACAGCCCTAGCAAAAATCATCAACAATTGAATAAAATATCAGTGCTATATTACCATTTACACTCCAGGGGCTTTCTATATTACAAATCTATATTAAAAAAGTGTATTCGCTGTTGAGTCAAACGTTTAATTTTAAGTTACGTTCAAAGCACAAGGATAAAGTCAGAGGTTTATAGCAAAATAAATCACCCAAAACATCTTCATTTATCCTCTTGGTGCTTTATATAATAATAAATCAACCAGAACACGGACGAGAATCAGAGCCCAGGTAATAATTTCCCCAATGATGATGGAAAGAACACAGATGAGATAAAACACGAATATCCTGCACAGCTAATTGGGGAGTTTAACATTAGGAAGGAGCGGCAGAGGCCAGAGGAGGTGATTCATTTGCATGAAGTGGCCCCAGAATAGCTTCGACTCCCCCGCGCTATCAGTGGAAACGGCAGATTATTCATCCGCTTGCAAATTGGCACATCAAAGTCAAACTGCAGAGCGGCGTGATTAGACGACGGGGAGAGAATCGGCTTCAATTCGAGACGACGTTCAGTCATCTCTGAACAAAAGGAAGCCGTTTAATGTTTGAAAAAGCTAAATATTTGGGTATGTAAGAGACACAGTTTAGCGCTGAGTGAAATAGTGACGGTATCTGATGGTCTACGTTTTGTTTAAGACCATCAGTAAGGAGGAGGTAATATTTGTGAATTAGAGAAATGACCAAATACTGAATTTCTTGCAGGCTTCAATTCGAGACGACGTTCAGTCATCTCTGAACAAAAGGAAGCCGTTAAATGTTTGAAAAAGCTAAATATTTGGGTCTGTAAGAGACACAGTTTAGCGCCGGGTGGAAAGAGTGACGGTATCTGATGGTCTACGTTTTGTTTTTTGGCATTCACACGATGCTGTTGCATTTTAATCTGCAGGTAATCTTTGTCGATTAGACGAACATGATTGAAGTTGTCTCAAAGCTATGTACTGATGCTATATAATCACGGTAAGCCTGATGTTGGTCAAATAGGAATCCGACTTAATAGAAATGACCAAATACTGAATTTCCTGCAGATGACGGGAGAGAATCGGCTTCAATACGAGACAAGGAAGCCGTTTCTAAAAACCAACATATTTGTGGGTTAAAGAGAGACAGTTCGATGCGGATATGTAGCTGTACTTGAAGAAGTGTGTGTGTGTGTGTGTGTGTGTGTGTGTGTGTGTGTGTGTGTGTGTGTGTGTGTGTGTCTTACGTTGGAAAGGCTGGTGTCCGCCACTTTGTTGACCTCTGTAGTTTCCTTGGTAGGAGTTTGGTGGAGCAGTGTTGCTATACTGACCACCTCCTCCTCCTCCTCCTCCTCTCCTCCTCCTCCCCCTCCTCCTCCTCTTCCTCCATGTTGGTTTCTGTTCATACTGTGACTGAAGAGGAAGACGCAGAGAAAGATATACTGTTAGAAACGTATTCACAACAACGAAAACATATCCATTTTGTATTTTCTTTATACAAAAACAAGTTTATTTATACAGCGCCTTTGAATGAAAGACATTAAGAAACAGGTTATGAAATGGCATCTCTTTCAAAAGCAAAGATAATAATTAGGGCTGTCAAGTTAACTAATTTAACGTGCGATTAACGCATGTGTATTTGTCCTCGGCCGCCCCGTAGTTTCAGAGCGAGAGAGAGAGAAGGAAAGTGCTTGACGTTGTTAGTTGGGAATGGTGGTGAGGATTTCAGGGAGAGAATTGGATACAAGAAAAGGTGTTTTAAACGGCAAGCCAAGCACACAGCTGATGCTGACAGGTTGGGGGAGAGGGAGAGAAAAAGAAGAGAGAGAGAGAGAAAGAGAGAGAGAAAGAGAAGAGAGAGAGAAAGAGAGAGAGAGAGAGAAAGAGAGAGAGAGAAAAGGAGAGAGAAGAGAGAGAGAGAGAGAGAAAGAGAGAGAGAGAGAAAGGGAGAGAAAGAGTATCACTACCCCCGCTGTATGTCTCCCCCTCTCCTCTCCCTGAGAGGAGAGATGGAGTAGCAGAGAGATTGTTGTGTGTCATTGCTCAAATGATCATAAACAAACATTTGCATAAAGCATATTTGTCCACTCGTGTTGATAAGAGTATTAAAAACTTTTAGAACAGATTAAAAATGTACGAATAATCGTGATTAAATATTTGAATCGACTAACACTACTTTAAACGTGTGAATTATTCAATAGTCTGATTTAGATACAAAAACACTTCATATTATGGCAAAAATCATAATCTCGATTATTTGGGTCAATAATTGTAATTGCGATTATTAAATGCGATTATTCATTGACTTTGAAAACATCCATTTATTGGAGACAAACATTTGAACAGTATGTTTTTAACAGTTGATTTCCCTGAACTTTAAATATAACTCAACTGAAAACCCAAAAAAATAAGTAATAATAATAAATAATAGTTTTATTACGATGTTTTCGTAATCGCTGCAAGCCATAACCGTAATCGCGATTAAAATACGATTAAAATACGATTAATTGAGCAGCCCTACTAAGGTGCTGCTCACACGGGAACGTTTGCGTTTATGCACAGTATGCGTTTTCAAAAAAGTCTTCCGTTCACACGTATTCGTTTCATTTGACGCGTCGGTTCACACGAGAACGCTGTAGTACATATGCCGGGCCTGTAGCTGGCGCTGTAACTTCCGCCACAAAATACACCAAAAGCAGCGAGTATAAGATCCCCCCCCCCCCCCCCGGATGTGTGAGGCACAAACAAAGGCGGGGGGAGGCGGGGCTATCGTTATTTTTTCAGGAAATGATCGTATCGAGGCGATCACACGGACCCCCCAGAGCGTTTCGCTTGCAAATCTATCCACCAGTTGGGACCCGTTATCGTTTGTGGGGTCCGTTTCTATCGTTTTGTTACGGCCTCGTGTAAACGAAAGGGCTATACGCAAGAGAAACTATGCGGATCCAACCCGTTCTCGTGTAAACGGCGTCTTAATATACAAAGAAAATACTGTTTTACTGTTCTGTGTTTCTTAGACAAGTCTCCATCATCACTGGCTTCTAATAAACCCCTCAGTGAATGATATCCAAACACGATAAAAGATTATATCCGTTAAGAGGATTCCTCCTCTCAGCACCTGGCTGTTTGGCCCCATCGAGCCTCATAACTGCCTGAATTAAAGTCTTATTTAGCAGGAAAACCCCAAAAACTGGATTACATCGAGTTTCCTCATCCTGCTGCATGATTAATTCCCAAACACGCCACAGTCGCACGGCGCCAGATGTTCAATTATTCACATTTCCTTAATGATAATATCACTGTGCGCAGCTTCGATCACAATCAAGCACGGCTGCTTAATGGGGAGCGTGGAGAGAGGGAGGGGTGCAGACATTTAAACACATTTTCTGTTTTAAAATACTGAACTGTGTCCGCCACGAATCTCAATACTGAGTCACTGCTGGCGTTGTTTAATACTCTTAAAATGATATCACAAACTGCAGGAAGGGGTCCAAGCAGGTGTGTGAGATTTAAATTACTCTGCTTGTTTATAAGCTGCAAAAAATGAGGAAAATTACAATAATTTTTTACTAATTGCCGTTTATTTGAAAGACTATCTTAGGGGACAATTTGTTCCCCATGAGGTATAAAGGAGTGACATTAAGTCCTAAAACCATGAAATGAGTCAATATTTTCGCACTTCCTCGTCTGGAAGTGTCTACAGATGACTGTTAGACTAACATATTGAGGAAACCTTATGTTTTTGAGTTGTTCAACCTATAGAATCAGTGTGACCCTTAAACATTAGGGGCTTGTAAAATAATATACGTTTATTTCAGAGAACTGTTCATAACAAACAACCACCTAAACCCAAATTCCTCGATCAAAGAGAACGAAAATGAAGAACCGATAGTGATGTCTTAGCAAATTTGACAGTTTTTAATGGCTAGTCAGCATTTGAGCACTTCCTCGTCTGGATGTCTCTGTTTGAGACTACAAAATATTGAAAATGACAGTCAGGAAATTTTGTGTTTTTGAGTTGTTCGACCTGTAGTTTCAGTGTAACCAGCGCTTCTGCCAGGCGGGCGTCGTGCCGTCATTTGACGCCCTGAACTCGAGCCGAGGGCGTCCAAAAATATTAATAATTCCAGAGAAGATCGAGAGTTTGTATTGCTTGAAATAACGAAAAGGAAAAAGGACAAGGACATCCCTCTGGGGGGGCAACGGAGTATTGAAGATCGTTTCCCGACATCGGCGATGCCTGCTAGAGGACAACACGGAACGTGCGCGATGTGGACGCGATGAGCGCCGCAGGTGCTAGTGGAGCACGCGCGTGAGCTGCGAGCACCAGAGCCTCGCAGCGGAGAAACCGAGGCTCCGTGGTAAACTGTGGTAACATGAAGAGCCGTGTGGGAGCCGACACAGCCGGCGCTTTAAGAGAGCCGAGCCAAATCGTCCGGCTCACTAACGTAAAAAGACAGTATCTATAAGGGACGGCTCAAGTCAAAATTCAAGCCCTCCCCCTCAGCCCTGGTCTGGTGGAAACACTGCATGTAACCCTTTAACATTAGAGCCTATTAAAATAATACACGTTTTGTGTGTTTATTTCAGAGACCTGTGCCTAACAACCAACCACCTAAACCCAAATTCATTGATCAAAGAGAACGAAAATGAAGCATCGATAGAGATTTCTTAGCTTGATCAGACAAGTTTGACTCCTTCAGTGTTTTTTTAAATAGCTTTTTGATAGATATGAAGAGAGGAAGTTACCCCAGAGCTCTGAAGCCGGACTGGTCCAGGTGGGCCGGCTGTCGGTGCTGGTTGAAGCCCGTTTGGGGTCTCCATGGTTGTCTGTTCCCTTTCTCCCAGTCCCCGGGCTTCAGCACCGCATTGGGCATCCTGAAGACACAACAACAACAACAACAACAACAAGAGTTAAAGTACATTGATATGTGAAATCACAGAGGTGAGGGCGGTCATTTTCAATCATCTGCTTTTAATCTGTCATTAATGTTGTGTTTATGATTTTTTTACTCTTTAAGGTGTCCTTGAGTTTCAAGAAAAGCTCTATGAATAAAATATATTATTATTAATCCGCCGCTGAAAGTAGTTCCAACAAATGATCACTAGAGCACCAAATTTGTATCAATCCGCTGCTGAAAATAGTCCCCATCAAAATCACAATTTCCTATTGTTTGATAAAAACAGAGCAGCTTTTTGGGGAAATTACAGATAAAACATTAGTATATATATATATATGTTTTTAAAAGTACTTCCTTAGTAGGAACTAATGGCCTGAGAACCACAGACAGAAATCATATTTTAGGTATTTTCATGTTATTTTTTAGACGTTATAAGAAATACTGTCATTACCAACTTAAGGCGAGACACCCAGGTGAATAGGGTAATTTTTTTAACTTAAAGGTATCAGCTAGAAATTTCTCCAGTTAATTACTTACAATAAGGCAATTGTCTTTTGTATTACAAGTTTTCTGAAATAGCATGTTTAAATATGCAAATTATCCATTATCTCATTAAATATGCACATATTTTAACACATTGCAGGAATCGAAATCTGAACTTTGGATATAGCCAGATTCAAAATTCTTGTTTCATTTTGTAGTCATATTAGAATCTAAGGCTTTTACAGAAGGGATATTGGATATCTCTTTTTATCACTCCATAAATCAGAAAATACTGTCAACAGCCCTAAAATATCCATTTTCGCCATGTTTTTAGGTACAATGTTGTATAATTCAGGCTATGAATGATATATGAACAAACCCTTCTGTAAAAGCCTTCATAATATTGATAGGAATATAACTGGAAGGTTTGGTGTATGTAAGTGCAACTGAAGTTGAAATTTCGAACTCAGAGTAGGAGAAAAAACTCATTTTGAGAAAAGGACCTTTAAAGATTGCAGTGAGGCGCTAGCTAAACCCTCCTGGTCTTTGGATGACAGCTTGCGCATCGATGCACTCCGTGAAGGTATTTCATGTTCAGGGTCATTTTTTTTTTTATAACCTTGCTTCGTGCAATTGACAATTGTTGGCGTCTTCTCTGAACGTTTTTTTCGCCGTTCTTTTGACATTTTGAGATTTCAATTTCTAGCGGAAAGCTAACCAGGAGGTGTTTTAGCACATCACGTGACGCATCTGAACGAATCACGTTGTCAGAAATTGACACCAGCCAATGAGATTTTGTTTCTTGGTTTAAGACCCCTTTGTGCTTTCACGATTGGTTGCTGATACAAAGGAAATGACCATATTTGGATCAGATGAGATTGTGCAGGAGAGACGGAGCTTTCCAGCGATACCTCTGTTGACATGGTGCACACAGCGGTCGCGGTACTTTATGTTACGTTAGAATGCTAACTTTTGGTGAATTTAGGAGAAATATACAGACGCAAATAGACAAACTATAGTAAAATAAACACTTAAATGTGTATTTTGTACGTTTTCCTTCCAAAAGCCTGAAAGAAAACATGTTATGGAATCAAAATAGCACAACATCTCAAAATTGACCAGTACTTGAAAAACGATGTTTTTGCCTGCCGTGTCTCGCCTTAAAGGGGCCCTATTATCATTACCAACTTAAACCTGCAAAATGTTTTTCATAATTGACCCTGAAACTGAAACATTAATATTTTCTTATCGTTATGCAATAGATAAGTGCTGGTGTGCTTATCTTTGTTTTAAATCATATTATATTTGTTTTTAATAGTTCCCAACAAAAACTAACTAGAGCACCAAATGTGTATCAATCCGCCACTGAAAATAGTCCCCATCAAAAGCTAAATATCCAATTGTTTGATAAAACCTAAATTGAGCAGCTGTTTTGGGAAATTACAGATAAAATAATTCATGTATATATTTGTGTTTTTAAAGTACTTCCTTAGTAGGAACTAATAGCCTGAGAACCAGACAGGAATAATTATTTTAGGTCTTTTCATGTTATTTTTAGACGACATAAGAAATACTGAGCGGTGCTAAATGAACTCCTACGTTAACACCTGAGACAAAAAGCTTTCAACATTTGGTAAATCATATCTGAGATGAAGTTTAATAAAGAAAAACCCCTCACTTTGCTCCGGAGAGGAGGACCGCCTTGAACACGAAGTCTTTCTCGAAGGCAGGATCCCTGAACTTCACTCTGGAAAAGGAAAAGGAGACGAATCATTTCACAACGAGAACAAACACTCTTCCATCAGCTCACATTTTCGGAGCATTATTCTGGTTGTCATTTTCAACCTGCCTCGCCTTCCTCACCCTGTTATTTCCCCACATGCTCCTTCCTGACTGCCTTTTCTCTCTCAATGTGTATTATTCTAAAGAAAGGTGGCCGAAAGATTATCTGCTTTGGAGCGGCGCTGTAAATGTCTGCAGAACGGTATGGCAGCGAATCACTGGGAAAATATACAGGACAGATACGAGATGGTTTGTTTACTTAAAGTATATGTATATGTATACTAAGAATACTAAGTACTGTATACTGTTCAAAAACAGAGAATGGATGGAACACCTAGGCATTACTGGGGAAGGGGATTAGGGCTATGTGGACATTTTGACGTTCTTTTTTTAGTTTTCACTTCGACACCCAAATTCTGAGAAAAACAATCAGAATTCTGTGGCGCAGATTTGGTCTCAAAGTGACGATGCAATTCATCAATGTGCCCCGGTGCATCAGGGAACTCACGCAGCGTCAGGAAATAAAACCCTCTTTCTTTTCCTCCGTACCCAAATCTCTAAAAACGGGGAACAACGGAGCTGATCCAGATTTGCGTCCGATATGACGTAATATCTGAAATGTGGACCCACGGCCCAATCAGAAACGTTGCTATCAGAAACAATGCCCGACTGTTTTGGACGTAATGTGGTCGGTGTTTACATTAGCATCGCTAACACTCAGCTAACCTGTACTGGAGAGCATGTGTGTGAAGAAGCAGGAAGTAAAAAGGAACTCACCTTGTGGTATAACCGGCAAGAGAGAAAGCCTTTGAGCTCCAAACTGTTTCAGAGAGAATCCTTGATAATCCATGATATGGCGTTTCATCACGGCAGCATTTAGTTTAGACAGTAGCTGCCGGGTCCCGCATGAGCTCAGCCCCCTCCTCTCTAAAGCTTTATACCCAAATCAGCACTTTTGAAACAGGAAGTGAAATAGAGGGATATGAGGCGTGGCTAGAATGATCTGTTTGGTGAGCTTTAAATGTATAAATAAACAGGTACCAGCCCCTTAAACTGCTCTTTAAATACCGCTTTTTAGGATTTAAAAATTGTGCCATTTCTTTCAACCGCTATGTTTTTAGGTCTAGGGGGAGGCGCTTTTCTTCACGTCTGTATGGAGAAATACCGACAATACCACCTCGTTTTATATTCATTTCTTGATATAAACGAATGCATTGAAATGTCAGATATTTCAACCTGAAAACACGTTTATCACTTCTGCTTTTAGACAATTTATGGGAGAGTTTCTTACCCGATGGCGCTGTTGTGTGCGATGTCTCGCAGCGTTGGGATGGGGGACGTCACTGGCCTGAAGAATAAATGTTAAATAAAAGTTAATAAGGAGGAGGAGTCGCCATGCGTTTGTTAAAAACATCAGAACACGAGATAGAGAGAATAAAGCGTCCTTACTGATCTGGTAGAATAGGTTTGCCGTCAAGGTTTAATAAACCCTGGATCCCATGGCACAGCTCTGCAGGGATCTCAGTGTCCTTAACGAGCAAGATATGGACGTTTTAATAAATTCATAAATGAGGATTTTATTAAATGACAGGAAAAAAAAACACATATTTTGTCCATAAATGTCTTAAGAAAATCATACTTTGATATATTTCTATCTTAATATTTACGTAAAAAATATATCAAAATATGATTTTCTTAATTGTTTTTATATATTTAAGCATCTATATACATACACACTTATGACCTACATAAATAAATACAATAAATTATTAAGAAACTGCCAAAATAAAGTAAAATATGGAGATTTGTTCATTTTTTTTTTTTATTCAGGCGTTTTTGGGGCTTCATTTGCCTCAAAATCACTGATAATATGTACGTTCTCAATTAGATGAAGTCTTTCCATTCTGATATCTCTAATTGACGACATTTCGTTCGTTCGGTCATTATTGTCACTTTTTCTACTCTTTAAAGTCCATTTTATTCAATGTTGAACTTGTTCCAGCAGTGACTGTGCTGCAAATCGACTTTGTTCCTCGGGATGAAATGTTGTGCTTCTCTCTTCAGATGTGCTCATTAGGAAACTCTGAGTCACAACAACAATTTGCTTTGGTTTGCAAAATGCATAATCAACAAGAACAAATCTGACTCAGGCGACACCTGCTCAGCGTCAGAGACACATCTGCAGAGCAGTGATGCAGCAAGTTCGACTCAGCAGGCTGAGCAGCTGAGAGGAGAGAGTCAGCTGCAGTTAAATAATATACTCTGAGAAACTAGCTGCTAAAACATCAAATGTACCGTGAAGTTGTTGGTGGTTCAGCAATCGAGAATAAAACACTGAGTTCAATCAAAGTAAATACATAAAATACCTATAAGTTCCTTCATTAGAAAGTTTACTTAAGAGTAGCTCTGCAACTGTTTTCATAACCCCATCATCTTTTTAACAATATTTCCTACAAAGCAAAAGGGCTCTTCGTAGCTTTTTAGATATGCAGTTTTCCTGCTTTTCTGTTAAAGTCAATGTCTTTAAGTATTAAAAGTATGTAAAAACAAGACATTAAGACGTTGTATTGGACTTTGAGAAAGTAGGATAGGCTGCCTACTTAAAAGTACACAAATATTCCCATGAAAATAGACAAAAAAGTACTTTTGAATAACTTGGTATACGGGGATAGTGGCTCATGAACTGTTCGCCGGAGTTAGTGCGGAGCGCATAAAGTAGATCCTTCACGCGATAGCAGGGTGAGGCACAGGAGGGGTAGTTAATCGATCGCATGGCGTCGTGCTCGCGGACGGATACAAAAAGATTAAACCTAAATGGGTCGCGAAATATACTTTGGCGGACGTGAATATACCTGGGCGCCCAAGTGAAGTCTATGTGTGGGAAACCCTGAACTCTGAACTTTGAGAAAGTAAGATAGGCTTCCTACTTAAAAGTTCAAAAATATTTGGATATAAGTACACGTTAAGTACAAAAAAGTACTTTTAAATAACTTGGTATACTGCTGAGATTGTGAGAAATCACCAAGACATCAATAAAGGTTTTAGCTTAATCTATAAAACGGTATATATATATATCCTTCGCGTCGAAAGGAGCCAGTTTAGGTGGTTCGGGCACCTAGTAAGGATGCCACCTGGACGCCTCCCTAGGCTGGTTGATGTCGCCAGGGAAAGGAACGTTTGGGGCTCTCTGCTGGAACTGCTACCCGGAGACCCGACCACGGATAAGCGGGAGAAGATGGATGGATGGATAAAACGATATATGATATTTAATTTGTTGGTTATCTTTTTGAATATTTATTCTGAGTGTATTAAAATAAATGACAGTATATCCTTCTGAGATATAGAAGTATAAAGGTGTAACTCAAGTACAAAACATGTCAACATTAAAACTACATTTCCCATCAGCCCCTTTGTGTCTCCCTGTCTAAAAGTGCGTCCACCATTTCAAAGCTTTGTTATAACCAACAATAATTACTTCTAAAGACGGCACAACGCGGTCACTTTGATTTAAACGTGTTGTTTCGTGTGTCGTTGTTACCTCGTTAGATTCTGTGCGGTAGAGTTCGTGAATGAAGTCGAACAGCGGGTGAGCTTTCCCCACAAACATCAGGTCGCTGCCAAGACTGTTCCTCCTCTCTGCAAGAAGACATACATGTATATAGTAAATCAATGTCATCTGAATAATGTCGACTATAAATAACATGTTCTACCAATGTGCCATCTCATCTCTTCCACTGCCGTCTGTGTTTTAGATTGCAAACTTCATGACAGGCGCTTGTTAAAACTTAAAAATCAATGACAATCATGAGGATAAGCTACGTTTCTGTCCAACACTAATCCCCTCAGCACATACATACAGTTAGTTCATTTAAATAGTGTCTTTGTACTCACGTTCCTCAGTAGTGAGGTCGGGGTAAACGTCCGCCAGAGCCGCCCACAGTCTGCGTTCATCGACAAACGGCAACAAGGCCACTCCTTCAAATTAACAGCACGGATACAGGAAGTTAAAGTGCCATCCAATGAGAAACAAGCATGGGATATGAATCAGTGCATGGGAAAAAGTGGATTATCTAGGGATGAATTTAAACATTTAAAAAAACATTAGAATAGGTTTGTTTATATATATATATATATATATATATATATATATATATATATAAAAAAGGCACATTTCCAACAACTTCTGAGCTTCTCAAAGGTTGATTTAAGAAGAGTTATTTGGAGGGAAGCGACTCACCCTGCCAGGCGTATTTCTTGCCGTTGAGATCGATGGCAAAGTCGTCGGGGTAGAAGTCGATGATGGAAGAATCCTGAGTGAAAAAGAAGCGTTTAAATACAAAAGTAGGCTTTAAAAATACACATTTTAAGATGATTAAGTGGCATCATGCTGATGTAGAAGAGACAAGAAGAGGGGACACATGTTGATGTAGAAGAGACATGGAGAGGGGACACATGCTGATGTAGAAGAGACAAGAAGAGGGGACACATGCTGATGTAGAAGAGACAAGAAGAGGGGACACATGCTGATGTAGAAGAGACAAGAAGAGGGGACACATGTTGATGTAGAAGAGACATGAAGAAGAGGGGACACATGTTGATGTAGAAGAGACATGAAGAAGAGGGGACACATGTTGATGTAGAAGAGACATGAAGAAGAGGGGACACATGTTGATGTAGAAGAGACATGAAGAAGACGGGACACATGTTGATGTAGAAGAGACATGAAGAAGAGGGGACACATGTTGATGAAGAAGAGACATGAGGAAGAGGGACACACGTTGATGTAGAAGAGACATGGAGAAGAGGGGACACATGTTGATGTAGAAGAGACATGAAGAAGAGGGGACACATGTTGATGTAGAAGAGACATGAAGAAGAGGGGACACATGTTGATGAAGAAGAGACATGAAGAAGAGGGGACACATGTTGATGTAGAAGAGACATGAAGAAGAGACATGAAGAAGAGGGGACACATGTTGATGTAGAAGAGACATGAAGAAGAGGGGACACATGTTGATGTAGAAGAGACATGAAGAAGAGACATGAAGAAGAGGGGACACATGTTGATGTAGAAGAGACATGAAGAAGAGGGGACACATGTTGATGTAGAAGAGACATGAAGAAGAGGGGACACATGTTGATGTAGAAGAGACATGAAGAAGAGGGGACACATGTTGATGTAGAAGAGACATGAAGAAGAGGGGACACATGTTGATGTAGAAGAGACATGAAGAAGAGGGGACACATGTTGATGTAGAAGAGAGATGAAGAAGAGGGGACACATGTTGATGTAGAAGAGAGATGAAGAAGAGGGGACACATGTTGATGTAGAAGAGACATGAAGAAGAGGGGACACATGTTGATGTAGAAGAGACATGAAGAAGAGGGGACACGTGTTGATGTAGAAGAGACATGAAGAAGAGGGGACACATGTTGATGTAGAAGAGACATGAAGAAGAGGGGACACGTGTTGATGTAGAAGAGACATGAAGAAGAGAGGACACATGTTGATGTAGAAGAGACATGAAGAAGAGGGGACACATGTTGATGTAGAAGAGACATGAAGAAGAGGGGACACATGTTGATGTAGAAGAGACATGAAGAAGAGGGGACACATGTTGATGTAGAAGAGACATGAAGAAGAGGGGACACATGTTGATGTAGAAGAGACATGAAGAAGAGGTGACACATGTTGATGTAGAAGAGACATGAAGAAGAGGGGACACATGTTGATGTAGAAGAGACATTAAGAAGAGGGGACACATGCTGATGTAGAAGAGACATGAAGAAGCTCCTCTCTCTGGACTCACCGGGCTGCTCATCAAGCTCCTCCACGTCGGGGGCAGGAAGTTCCCGCTGGCTGCAGGGAAGACTCCCATCAGCTGCTCCAGGGGCTTGAACTGCACAGAGAAACCAAGTCATTTACACTCAGAGTTACAGCGTTTTATTCTAACAAGGATTATTCACAAGGAGGAACAGAGAGAGGGTTGTATCTCCTGACACACCGGGGACTAGGGTTGCAAAGGGGTGGAAAGTTTCCGTGGGAAGTTAAGCTGGGGGATTTTGGAAATACTAAAAAATTAAACAAAAAAACCTGACATTTCAACAGATTTTTTTTATTTTAATATATATATATTTTTAAGTAGAACAGAACAAGTTTGAATTATTTTAATGAACAATTATTTGTTTAATTGAAGAACGAAAACAGGAATGTTGAGTTAAAATTACTCATCTGTGCCTGTAGGGGGTGTGGTCTCAATAGCCATGCAGTAAGCCGTGTGCTATGGCATGGATATTCAAGTGTACTTGAATGGCATCTGTTTGTTTTAGTCAAGATTATGCTAAAATATACTTTCCCCAACTATATTTAAGTTCCCTACGAAGAGCCAACATTCCCAGTTTATTCCCGTTAATTCCCATCTTTGAAAATTCCCGGAATTGTGCAACCCTACCGGGGGGGGGGGGGGACACCGGACACACCGGACACACACGATGTATAAAAGACATCAGAAAGTGCATTGTGCGTGATAGGTCCCCTTTAAGTTAGTTTTCTAAGGGTCAATGGAAACATCAACACGTGAGTATCGTGATATATTGAATCAAGTAGTAACAATAATATTGGACGTTTCAGATGGATTTAAACGCAAAAGCAGAGCCCACTTTTAAAATAGATGTAATGCATATGGAAGTGCGTGTTTTATATCTGTTGTTGTATCGCAATTTACATGATTGCATATCAGCGATTCTTTCCAATACTTTTTGGAGTGCGATGAGATAAAACGGCAGAGACAGAAAACAAAGACGTTTTATGTTTTTACCGGTTTAGTGTCCTTCTCGAAGTCGTCGAACATCCCTTTGATGTCTTTGAAGTCGGAGGCGAAGGGAGCGTAGTGGAACGGGAAGTACCACTTCCAGGAGGCGCAGCCCTGCAGAAACACACACACACATTAACGTCACACCACACACACACAAGTAATAATGGTATATGATATTTGTTCCTTGTCATTCGTTGCTTTCCCCTTTGTGATTCGGAACATTTTAAAGTACTGGACTTGTGTTATTTCCCAACTGACAAAATGAGATAAAAGCACTAAAAGACACTCAGGAAATGAATGAAGCTTTTCTTTGCCCTTTTTCCCCACTAAGTTTCCCCGCAGCACAAAGCTTAAAATCCAGTGTGATCAGACCGACGTGGACACGCTGACATTTAAAAACCTCCAGCAGGAATCCTGATCAGAACATCTGTTTAAACTGTATAAAAGCAACCTTTCTGTCTCACTACAGCGTGTGTGTGTGTGTGTGTGTGTGTGTGTGTCTGTCTCACTACAGTGTGTGTGTGTGTGTCTGTCTCTCTACTGTGTGTGTGTGTGTGTGTGTGTGTGTGTGTGTGTGTGTGTGTGTGTGTGTGTGTGTGTGTGGTGTGTGTCTGTCTCTACAGTGTGTGTGTGGTGTGTGTCTGTCTCTCTACAGTGTGTGTGTGTGTGTCTGTCTCTCTACAGTGTGTGTGTGTGTGTGTCTGTCTCTCTACAGTGTGTGTCTGTCTCTCTACAGTGTGTGTGTGTCTGTCTCTCTACAGTGTGTGTGTGTGTGTCTGTCTCTCTACAGTGTGTGTGTGTGTGTGTGTGTCTGTCTCTCTACAGTGTGTGTGTGTGTCTGTCTGTCTCTCTACAGTGTGTGTGTGTGTGTGTGTGTGTGTGTGTGTGTGTCTGTCTCTCTACAGTGTGTGTGTGTGTGTGTGTGTGTGTGTGTGTGTGTGTGTCTGTGTCTCTACAGTGTGTGTGTGTGTGTGTGTGTCTCTCTACAGTGTGTGTGTGTCTGTCTCTCTACAGTGTGTGTGGTGTGTGTCTCTCTACAGTGTGTGTGTGTGTGTGTGTGTGTGTGTCTCTCTACAGTGTGTGTGTGTCTGTCTCTCTACAGTGTGTGTGGTGTGTGTCTCTCTACAGTGTGTGTGTGTGTGTGTGTGTGTGTGTGTGTGTGTGTGTGTGTGTGTGTCTCTACAGTGTGTGTGTGTGTGTGTGTGTGTGTCTCTCTACAGTGTGTGTGGTGCGTTTAATACTTTTTAATAGCCTTAATTTTTTTCCTAAATTGATTGATCAACTTTTAACCCTTTGTAAGACCCCGCGGACCCCCTGTGAGAATACAAATATAAAAACTGTTTTTCTTTTACTGCAAAGGAATACAGTATTAAAGTAACCCTGTGTGTCGAGAAGACCGCACGTCCTCCACCACCTGCTGAGAGCCTCTTGCATCGAGATGAATTCCCCCAGCTCGGTGTATCAGACGTGTTTATGTGGGAGTGAAGAAGAGCAGGAGGAAGAGGAGGAGGAAGAGGAGCGGTGGAAATTAAACCCTGCAGATGAAGCGTTTGGACCACTTATCCTTCGTGAACAAACGCGACCTTCACTTCCCACAATGCACCTCTGAGAAAAGCAGACCCTCTCTGTGAGATAAACCCAGCGCTCCATTATCAAAGACGGTCATTCAGATGATAATGCGGGACGTTAGCATGTGGCTTTTTAATAATCGCACAGATCATTTATGGTAATGCAAACACATGTTTTGTCTCCGGGAGGAATTCATTCGTGACCTTGTTCAGCGGGGTCAAAGGCCATAAAGCACGAACAATAATAAATACATATATACCGCCCTGTTTTATAACAGCTGAGAGGAGGAGAACAGCTTAGCATTTAATGATAAAATATTACTTTTTTTAAAGAAATACAGCCAACATAATGGCACAGACACTAAGGGCTGATGTTGGGATGTTTATAAGATAATTGGAATTAAATAGGAAACAGAAAATCAATAAACCGGCCTGGCCGTGTTGGTTAGAAAAGTCTTTTAATTTGTATAAAATACATTAATTCATTAACTAGGAGGTTTTGTTTGGCTCCCACTGAGATCTACCTGTGATCGTTTATTCAGGTTCACATGCCTACACCAGAAGCCCCCCCCCCCCTCTATAAGCCCCACCCTCCCATCTATAAGCCCCACCCACCCCCATCTATAAGCCCCACCCACCCCCATATATAAGCCCCACCCACCCCCTGGTGTCATTGATGAGTCTCAGCTGTGATCAGCGCAGTCAACTCGTCTTCGCGGCCGCTCGGGTCGAGTCGTCTCTCCTCGTGGATCCGGGTCGACTCCGGCAGAACGCCGAGTCGATGACATCACCACGAGGAGAGGCCCCGCCCCCAGAACGAGAGCGGGGGGTGACTGCGACGAGATGGCCGCTCAGCGAATGGATAAACAGCTTCATCATTTCACAGATCTGAGCTCAAGTAAATTAACTACAAATGATAAAATCGGGAGAATTAATTATCCAAATGGTTCAATTATTTAAAATATAAACCGTATCTATACTGTCCGGTTTTATAGCAGCTGATAGGAGGATAAAAGCTAACCGTATTATATCAAATATGTTAAAATATAACTTTTTAAAAAGGAATAAAGCCAACTTAATGGCACAAAGAAACTCAAACACTTTAAATACATTTGAAGACGCTGTTATTCTTCTTATTCATTAGAAAACATATTCTATATTATTTTAAAACAGTAGTTTTGCTGCTATACGTGGTTTACTTTTGAAATCTGTATTAAATGACATTTTGATTAAACCTAAAAGAAAATCCAATAGTGTTTTCAATCCTGTCACTTTAAAAGCTTTTCTAAATGTTGGGGAAAGAAATACATCCAGCCGTCTTATCGTGCTTTCTTTACGTAGTTACATTTTAAAATAAACTACAATGAATGTGTGAAACGTCCCAAATAAAACCCACCTCCTCCCTCGGGGGGTTTCACACCTAAAACCTGACATACCGTCCCTTTCTGTATTTGGGATAACCCCGTCTCTGGTGATTTAGCGATGTGTGCGTGACCATCATCCCTCTCTCTGAATTAATGGATTCCTGCAGAGCGGCCCCCTGAGAGTCGCATATAGACAACTCACAATCAGCACCAATCCCCCCCCCCCCCGGACCCTCTTATTACCCGACGCTGATTACTTCATTTCAAGATAAAGATCAATATTTTACAACAATAGAAATGATTTAGGGTTTAATCACATTGCAAACAATAGAGATCAGACAGCGAGGTCTCTGCTGTTTGTCCAGACACTCCACAGTAAGCAGTTCTTGACTTTAAAACAGGGTAATAAAAAAAACGGTCGCTGTGTTAGAAAACAGCCCTGACCCCCCCGTTAGTATCTCGGGACAGACCGAGTGAGTGTCCTGAGATGAGTAGCTTCAATTGAACACTAACTGGGGAATAAATAAGTAATATATTGGCTTTTAATCACTAATTTGTGTGAATTTGAACCATCATTTTAGTTGAAAATGTAAGTTTTGTGACTAAAATCATGGTTTTCTGACAGCTCCATTTAAAAAATAGCTTAATAACAGATTCAATAAATAAAATGTTCTGTATAAACACAAGTTCAAGTAAGAATATGCAATAAAATGAAAATAAATATGTATATACATGTAAGAATTTCAAGTTAAATGCCTAAAAAAAAATCTCAAATACAAATATTTACATGAACATAAACTAGGAAAATTAAGTAAAAATGTACACTTCATTATATATAAAAGTGTACATTTAGTTAATGTATGCAAGGTTGATATATATCAGTGTTCTTGTAGATAATTTAATAAAAACCTGGAAATGTTTTGAGACACAAAAGATGACACTCATTTCGCCCCTAAGCGACAGTTTGCTTTATGATAGTGTTGTGTACATTTAATGAAGACGCAGAGTGGCGTAATTCATAATGATCATCAAAGAACCAAATGCTAGTTGAGAAGATATCATCTTGCATAATATCGTCCCCTCTGTCACGAACCTTGGAGTGACCTTCAATAGCGCTTTTAAATTCGATAAGCAGGTCAGCAGCGTAGTCAAAACCTGCTTCTTTTTTTTATAAATACGACTATTGGCTGAGACCAAGTCGTTTTTATCTTTTAAAGACCTAGAAAGGGTTATTAACGCCTTTGTTACCTCGAGACTGGATTACTGCAACACTCTGTATGTGGGTATGGACCAGGCCTCAATTAAACGCCTGCAGCTAGTGCAGAACGCAGCTGCACGTCTTCTGACTGGCCACAAAAAGCGTGACCACATCATCCCAATTCTGGCCTCACCGCACTGGCTTCCAGTTCGGTTCAGAATAGATTTTAAACTCCTTTTATTTGTTTTCAAAGCCCTAAATGGGCTCCGGCCTATATAGCTGAACTCCTCCAGCGCTACACCCCAGCCAGAGCTTTAAGGTCTGCTGATCAGCTGCTGCTGGTAGTGCCTAAGACCAGGCTCAAAACCCGAGGGCACCGAGTCTTCACAGCAGCTGGCCCCAGGCTCTGGAACACTCTGCCCCTCCACGTGAGGTCGGCCCAGACCCTGGGGGTTTTGTAATCTACTCTTAAAAACACACTTCTTCTCCCTGGCCTTCTAGTCAGAGCGGAGCACGACTCCTGACTATTCCCTGTGTTTTTTATATCTGTTGTAATTTATTGTCTTTTATTGTGATTGTAGTAATGTGTTTTTATGTGATTGTAGTATTTATTACATGTACAGCACTTTGGCCCGACCAAAAATCGCTTTTAAAATGTGCTTTATAAATAAACTTTGATTTGATTTGCAGTTTGACGACCAGTCTTAAAGTGCCATGTTTAGACTCTTTAGTGTGAGTAGTTGCTGTAGAGACATTTGCTTTCTGTGTCTCTTGATCATTAGTCTTTTTGACCAGTTCATTGTGTCATTAACAATGTTTACAGAGTTACCTGGTAGCAGTGATTAAAGACTCTTTGACCAATGTTTCCAGAGTTACCTGGTAGCAGTGATTAAAGACTCTTTGACCAATGTTTCCAGAGTTACCTGGTAGCAGTGATTAAAGACTCTTTGACCAATGTTTCCAGAGTTACCTGGTAGCAGTGATTAAAGACTCTTTGACCAATGTTTCCAGTGTTACCTGGTAGCAGTGATTAAAGACTCTTTGACCAATGTTTCCAGTGTTACCTGGTAGCAGTGATTAAAGACTATTTGACCAATGTTTCCAGTGTTACCTGGTAGCAGTGATTAAAGACTCTTTGACCAATGTTTCCAGTGTTACCTGGTAGCAGTGATTAAAGACTATTTGACCAATGTTTCCAGTGTTACCTGGTAGCAGTGATTAAAGACTATTTGACCAATGTTTCCAGAGTTACCTGGTAGCAGTGATTAAAGACTCTTTGACCAATGTTTCCAGTGTTACCTGGTAGCAGTGATTAAAGACTATTTGACCAATGTTTCCAGAGTTACCTGGTAGCAGTGATTAAAGACTCTTTGACCAATGTTTACAGAGTTACCTGGTAGCAGTGATTAAAGACTATTTGACCAATGTTTCCAGAGTTACCTGGTAGCAGTGATTAAAGACTATTTGACCAATGTTTACAGAGTTACCTGGTAGCAGTGATTAAAGACTCTTTGACCAATGTTTCCAGTGTTACCTGGTAGCAGTGATTAAAGACTCTTTGACCAATGCTTTGAGTGTTACCTGGTAGCAGTGATTAAAGACTCTTTGACCAATGTTTCCAGAGTTACCTGGTAGCAGTGATTAAAGACTCTTTGACCAATGTTTCCAGAGTTACCTGGTAGCAGTGATTAAAGACTATTTGACCAATGCTTTGAGTGTTACCTGGTAGCAGTGATTAAAGACTCTTTGACCAATGTTTCCAGAGTTACCTGGTAGCAGTGATTAAAGACTCTTTGACCAATGTTTCCAGTGTTACCTGGTAGCAGTGATTAAAGACTCTTTGACCAATGTTTCCAGAGTTACCTGGTAGCAGTGATTAAAGACTCTTTGACCAATGTTTCCAGAGTTACCTGGTAGCAGTGATTAAAGACTATTTGACCAATGCTTTGAGTGTTACCTGGTAGCAGTGATTAAAGACTCTTTGACCAATGTTTCCAGAGTTACCTGGTAGCAGTGATTAAAGACTCTTTGACCAATGTTTCCAGAGTTACCTGGTAGCAGTGATTAAAGACTATTTGACCAATGCTTTGAGTGTTACCTGGTAGCAGTGATTAAAGACTCTTTGACCAATGTTTACAGAGTTACCTGGTAGCAGTGATTAAAGACTCTTTGACCAATGTTTACAGAGTTACCTGGTAGCAGTGATTAAAGACTCTTTGACCAATGTTTCCAGTGTTACCTGGTAGCAGTGATTAAAGACTCTTTGACCAATGTTTCCAGAGTTACCTGGTAGCAGTGATTAAAGACTCTTTGACCAATGTTTCCAGAGTTACCTGGTAGCAGTGATTAAAGACTATTTGACCAATGCTTTGAGTGTTACCTGGTAGCAGTGATTAAAGACTCTTTGACCAATGTTTCCAGAGTTACCTGGTAGCAGTGATTAAAGACTCTTTGACCAATGTTTCCAGAGTTACCTGGTAGCAGTGATTAAAGACTATTTGACCAATGCTTTGAGTGTTACCTGGTAGCAGTGATTAAAGACTCTTTGACCAATGTTTCCAGAGTTACCTGGTAGCAGTGATTAAAGACTCTTTGACCAATGTTTCCAGTGTTACCTGGTAGTAGTATCTCAGCACCCAGCAGAGTCCCTCCACGTACGACCGCACCACCTTCTGCCTGAAGTCGTCGTCCGTCGCCTCCACGTCAAACTTGGTCTTGTAGTATCTCTGCCTCCAGCCGTCCTCCCACAACCTGCAGGATTAAAGAGGAAGATATATAGTGTGTATTCGGATTGCGAGTATGTACTTCTCTTACTTTTTAAACGTGTGTAAAAGAACTTAGTGACATTACAACACTGCAAATGAAAGCCAATTACTTAGGGGAAAGTCTTGCGAGGTGAAGGTTGAAATAAAGTGGGAAAAAAATAGTGTTTTTGATTTGGTGCCACCCTTTTTTATTTTATGTTATTTGCTTGTAAAGTAAAGCATTCTATGATTTTATTCTCTGTATTATTATTTGTATAGGGGTTTCACAGCGATTATGGGAACTACAATTTCATTTTACAAAAGAAAACTATAAATAAATACGCAACGTTTTATTATTTAAAACTAAAATCTAATAAAAACCTTTTTATATATATTTTATTTGCCTGTAAAGCGCCTTTGAAGAGCGCTCTATGTCAAGCATTATTGTTTTTATTATTATTAATATGATAATAGGGTTTCACAACAAGTCCAGGATTCAACACAAGACCCTTTTACTAAAAACTGTAAATAAAGTGTTGATTTGGTTGCTTTTTATTTTAAATGCTGCATCATCGTCTCCTCACAGCATTTAGCTCCCGATGCATCACACTGCTCTCTGGATTCAAGAGAGTGGATTAAACATCCTTTCCTCCATCACTTCTGCTGTTTGTGACCTTGAGGTATAAATGTATTCAACACTAAAGTGTACGTGACTGTTGGAGGAGTCGATCACATGTTTGTAGATGCACCTAAACGATGCATTTGCTTATTAAAGCGCTGCTCTGAGCATGTATAGGCTGAAATAAAATGTGCATTAACTTCCTCCCCGCTGCAGGAACAGTGTAATGGCTTTGACTTCTGGGTAGATTTGCGTTGTGCACACATAATGAAATACGGCGGAGCGTATGTATGTGTGTGTATCCTCAGAGAGCGGCTCTTGAGAGGAAGAGCCTCCATGAATACCAATTCAGCCCGACGGGTTTAGCAGCTTTGAGGAGAGCGTCAGAGGAATTTACCGGAATATTCTTCTCTGCAGATTAATCACGTGCAGAGGCAAGTGGGAGCTGTTCAGCAGAGGTGTGTGTGTGTGTGTGTGTGTGTGTGTGTGTGTGTGTGTGTGTGTGGAGATAAACAGCTTGTTCTGCAGCACCGTGGAATTAATGAGTGAATCGCTCTAGTTGTGTTTTCTTAAGTGCGAGAAGCAGGACTTTTTTAGGCACATATTCAACGGTTCCATTTCCCATATCCTCGCTACGTTGTCGAAAAACCCACTTTTATATTGAAATGCGTAGTGGATAGATCAGACAATTAATTATTATCTAAATTGTAGCATATGAACAGCAAAAAAATACCAAACACTTCCCTAGTTTTACCTTTTCAATTGTGAGGATCATTAGGATTTAATAATAATAATAATCCTTATATTTATTATAGCGCTTTATCAAAGACTCTCAAAGCGCTTTACAAATACACATTACACATACATGTAATGGTCATCTACTGTGGACAATACCCACAGGAGCAAATTCGGGTGAAGTGTCTTGCCCAAGGACACAACGGCCTGGGAGGCCTGGGGCGGGATTCGAACTGGAGTTCCCCAGCACCCCCTTGATCTGATGATCAAACGCACAGACCACTGCGCCACCCGTCCCCGGATTTAGTCCCTCATAAATCAGAAAGTGTGGAGATTATCCTAAACGTGTATTTGCCACAGAGATTCTTTCATGCAATAAATCAAAATCACATGGAGGAATCCCATTGGCTTTTAGTCGAGGGAACCAGGGAGATGCTGCCTTCAGGGTCCAACACAGAAATACGACATGACATTACTGCGAGTGTTAACTTAAGATGTGTTTACCTGACGTCGTCTTCAGGCTCCGGCTCGCTGTCGCTGTCGTTAGATTTCCTCTTGACCCCGCGGCCGTCTGTGCTGCCGCTCGGCCCTGCAGACTGGGGAGGGAAACAAAAACACACATCAGAAAAACAACTCATTTCCTTTAGAAAACAGTGGAAAGAAACGGCAGTAAATATATGGAAAAATATTTAATTAATGACTCAAAAATGATGCCATAAACATTTCCAGGGATTTTTTTTTTGCTTAAAAGTGAGTATTTTTATATTTAAATGCATTGTCATAAAACAAACTAATATCCTTTAGAAAACGGTGAGAAAATATATGTAAAAAGTGCATTAAAATGACTTGTGTTGTCCATTTAACCGAACAAATCCAAAATATAATTGTTTATTAACTTTAAGTGTAAAAATAAAGCAAAAAAGCCTCAACTGAAATTTAGGATGGTTGCATTTTGTCTTAAAAAGTGAGTATTTTTATATTTAAATGCGTTGTTTGAGAGTCAGAAAACAAACTGACTTCCTATAGAACGCAGTGAGAAATAAATGGCAGTCTAGAAACTCAAGATTATGACAAAGAAAAAATCTTGTTTTGTCCATTTAACCCCAAATATAATAAGTTTATTAACTTTAAAGACAGAGAAGCTGAAACTTAGGATTTTTTTGCATTTCGTCTTCTGACTATATTTAAATGCGTTGTTTGAGAGTCAGACTAATTTCCTATTAATAACAGTCAGAAGAATGGCAGAAAATTATGAAAAACGTGTATTAAAATGTCTAATCTAAGAGTATGACTTTAAAATGATATTTGATATACTTTATTAATCCCCGTGGGGAAATGGTTTCTCTGCATTTGACCCATCCTAGTGTTAGGAGCAGTGGGCTGCCATTTTGAACGGCGCCCGGGGAGCAGTGTGGGGAACGGTGCCTTGCTCAGGGACACCTCGGTAACACTTGGTCTTGCAGGGACTTGAACTGGTGACCTTCCAGTTGCCAAGCCGAGTCCCTATCGACTTTGTCTCGGTTTGTCCATTTAACAGAACAAATCCAATATAGTCAGTTTGTTAACTCAACATAAAATTAAAAGCAGTAAATCCTGAAAATTGAGTATCTGAAATTTAGGATTTTTGCTTTAAAAAGTGACTATTTTTATGTTTTTATGCGTCGTTTGAGTCAGAAAACAAACTAATTTCCTATAGAAAAACCAGTCAGAAGAATGGCAGAAAATTGTGTAAAACGTGCATTAAAATGACTTAAAACTCAAGATTATGACATAAAAAAGTATTGTTTTGTCCACCTAACAGAACAAACCCTTTATTAATTTCAAAGAAGTATATCCTGAAAACTGAGCAGCTCTAAAGGAGGATTTTTTTGCATTTTGTCTTAAAAAGGTGAGTATTTTTATATTTAAATGCGTTGTTTGAGAGTCAGAAAACAAACTAATTTCCTTTTGAAAAAAACAGTCAGAAGAATGGCAGAAAATTATGTAAAAAGTGCAGTAAAATGTCTTCAAATCGAAGATTGTGACTTTAAAATGTCTCGGTTTGTCCACCTAATAGAACAAACACTAAAATAGTTTATTAACTTTAAAGAAGAATAAAAACAATAAACTGAGCAGCTGAAACCAAGTGCTTAAAAAGTGACTATTGTTATATTTAAAAGCGTTGTTTGAGTGTCTTATTGATTTCTTAACTAATCATTTAAACTCTAAACATTAAATCTTTGGCAACAAAAAACAATTATCGCATTAAAAAGCTGTTCAAACGAACCTTAATGCTCTTAAATAGCGCTGCTCAATTATGGCAAAAATCATAATCTCCATTATTTGGGTCAATAATTGTAATTGCGATTATTAAATGCGATTATTCATTGACTTTGAAAACATCCATTTATTGGAGACAATGTTTTTGTACAGTATGTTTTTAACAGTTGATTACCCTGAACTTTAAGTATAACTCAACTGAAAACCCAAAAATAATTAAAAAAAATAAAATCGTTTTATTTCGATTACGTTGTTTTCATAATCGTTGCAAGCCATAATCGGAATCGCGATTAATTGAGCAGCCCTACTCTTAAATTCAACATATAAAATGATATTTTAAATGATGGCACATTTTACGAGAGTTTTCTGTTCCATCACTTGATGATTATAAAAAATGTAGCCAACTATTATTCTCTGCACTGAAACTCTTTGCCTTTAAGGAAAACTGATGGAAGTGATAAAATTAAATATAAAATCGCCACCATAGCTACGCAGCCTTCCTCCTTTGTGAAGCCTTTGTGCTCTCGTTCATTCATGTGCTAATGTTCGTCTGGCTATTGCTGCTCGATGTGTTGATATGTAAAGCTTTACATCGGCAGGACATTTAACAGCTCCGGGGGTAAATTGAAAGACATGACCATGAAAGGAAGCATAACAACGACACCTGCCATCAGCCACAATTTAACTTCAAATATGCACTGGCGTCAAAGAAGTGTCACATTTTCAGAATTCTTCAAGGATTTGATTTTAACAGGTTGTTTAACAAAGATTGGCTTTTGATTGTGGGGCATATTGTACTTGATAGAAGGCCTTTAAGAGTTATATGACATAGTTTTTCTTGATAAAGGAATGCATTGTTCCATTATGTATATCCAGCAGAAATACAGTGAGGTATACAAGTGGATGTCTGCACACCTCTCTCGAATGTGGATGAATAAACGTGCGTAAAACCAAATGTGGATGATTTGCAGATTGTGAGGTGTCGAAAAAAGTTAAAATATGCAGTCAAATATTCAGAAGACAGACAATAACACTTAGTATGGCCTTTAATCGAACTAAATCCTCCATTTGCTGATGAACTTTTATCAAAATAATTGCTAGAAATGTATTATTTTCTGCCTGGAAAAACCTCACCTAATGATGGCACACGTATATAAGTTGATAGAAATATCAAAAAGGGGTTTTAAAAAATGATTAAATTGGCAATTTATAGAGGACTTACATTGCCACCGTTCTTCATCGAGGCCTTAAGGGACTGAGCGGCATCCTGGAGGAACATAAACGAATAAAAAAAAAGAATCAGTCTTATGGTCGCAACGCTGATTCATCAACATGTTTTATTAAATCTCCTCCCCTCTCTTAATATTATTGACTGAATTACTGAATATTTTTTACGTGAAGTCATGTGACCGTGCTGTAGTTCCTTTGTAGCCCAACATTAGCCTCCTTTAGCTTAGCGGTGGTGACGTGAAGTCATGTGACCGTGCTGTAGTTCCTTTATAGCCCAACATTAGCCGCCTTTAGCTTAGCGGTGGTGACGTGAAGTCATGTGACCGTGCTGTAGTTCCTTTATATGCCAACATTAGCCGCCTTTAGCTTAGCGGTGGTGACGTCAAGTCATGTGACCGTGCTGTAGTTCCTTTATAGCCCAACATTAGCCGCCTTTAGCTTAGCGGTGGTGACGTGAAGTCATGTGACCGTGCTGTAGTTCCTTTATATGCCAACATTAGCCGCCTTTAGCTTAGCGGTGGTGAGGTGAAGTCATGTGACCGTGCTGTAGTTCCTTTATAGCCCAACATTAGCCGCCTTTAGCTTAGCGGTGGTGACGTGAAGTCATGTGACCGTGCTGTAGTTTCTTTATAGCCCAACATTAGCCTCCTTTAGCTTAGTGGTGGTGACGTGAAGTCATGTGACCGTGCTGTAGTTCCTTTGTAGCCCAACATTAGCCTCCTTTAGCTTAGCGGTGGTGACGTGAAGTCATGTGACCGTGCTGTAGTTCCTTTATAGCCCAACATTAGCCGCCTTTAGCTTAGCGGTGGTGACGTGAAGTCATGTGACCGTGCTGTAGTTCCTTTACAGCCCAACATTAGCCACCTTTAGCTTAGCGGTGGTGACGTGAAGTCATGTGACCGTGCTGTAGTTCCTTTATAGACCAACATTAGCCTCCTTTAGCTTAGCGGTGGTGACGTGAAGTCATGTGACCGTGCTGTAGTTCCTTTATAGACCAACATTAGCCTCCTTTAGCTTAGCGGTGGTGACGTGAAGTCATGTGACCGTGCTGTAGTTCCTTTATAGACCAACATTAGCCTCCTTTAGCTTAGCGGTGGTGACGTGAAGTCATGTGACCGTGCTGTAGTTTCTTTATAGCCCAACATTAGCCTCCTTAGCTTAGCGGTGGTGACGTGAAGTCATGTGACCGTGCTGTAGTTCCTTTGTAGCCCAACATTAGCCTCCTTTAGCTTAGCGGTGGTGACGTGAAGTCATGTGACCGTGCTGTAGTTCCTTTGTAGCCCAACATTAGCCTCCTTTAGCTTAGCGGTGGTGACGTGAAGTCATGTGACCGTGCTGTAGTTCCTTTATAGCCCAACATTAGCCACCGTTAGCTTAGCGGTGGTGACGTGAAGTCATGTGACCGTGCTGTAGTTCCTTTATAGCCCAACATTAGCCTCCTTTAGCTTAGCGGTGGTGACGTGAAGTCATGTGACCGTGCTGTAGTTCCTTTGTAGCCCAACATTAGCCTCCTTTAGCTTAGTGGTGGTGACGTGAAGTCATGTGACCGTGCTGTAGTTCCTTTGTAGCCCAACATTAGCCTCCTTTAGCTTAGCGGTGGTGACGTGAAGTCATGTGACCGTGCTGTAGTTCCTTTATAGCCCAACATTAGCCGCCTTTAGCTTAGCGGTGGTGACGTGAAGTCATGTGACCGTGCTGTAGTTCCTTTACAGCCCAACATTAGCCACCTTTAGCTTAGCGGTGGTGACGTGAAGTCATGTGACCGTGCTGTAGTTCCTTTATAGACCAACATTAGCCTCCTTTAGCTTAGCGGTGGTGACGTGAAGTCATGTGACCGTGCTGTAGTTCCTTTATAGACCAACATTAGCCTCCTTTAGCTTAGCGGTGGTGACGTGAAGTCATGTGACCGTGCTGTAGTTCCTTTATAGACCAACATTAGCCTCCTTTAGCTTAGCGGTGGTGACGTGAAGTCATGTGACCGTGCTGTAGTTTCTTTATAGCCCAACATTAGCCTCCTTTAGCTTAGCGGTGGTGAAGTGAAGTCATGTGACCGTGCTGTAGTTCCTTTGTAGCCCAACATTAGCCTCCTTTAGCTTAGCGGTGGTGACGTGAAGTCATGTGACCGTGCTGTAGTTCCTTTATAGCCCAACATTAGCCACCGTTAGCTTAGCGGTGGTGACGTGAAGTCATGTGACCGTGCTGTAGTTCCTTTATAGCCCAACATTAGCCTCCTTTAGCTTAGCGGTGGTGACGTGAAGTCATGTGACCGTGCTGTAGTTCCTTTGTAGCCCAACATTAGCCTCCTTTAGCTTAGCGGTGGTGACGTGAAGTCATGTGACCGTGCTGTAGTTCCTTTATAGCCCAACATTAGCCTCCTTTAGCTTAGCGGTGGTGATGTGAAGTCATGTGACCGTGCTGTAGTTATACTATTATTTTCCATTTTACAATATTTTGTCTTATGTTTTGTAAGTTATTATAGTGTTCTTAAAATAGTTCGCCATCTGTTTTTTCTTTTATGTACGCACCATGACACCAAGTCAAATTCTTCGTACGTGTCAACCTACCTGGTGATAAACCCGTTTCTGAACACAAACACCACATCCCTGCATCACTCTATGAACAACTTGTGTTACTTTATCTTAAAAACATTTTGTACCTCGTGTGAAATCTCTTAATAACCCTCTAAACGCCTGCATTTCCCCAAAGGGATAATAAAGTTCCATCTCATCTTACCTTGTTGGATTGCATCCTCATGTCGAAGGCCTGGTGCCGGGCGTTGTTCACGGCGTCGGGTTTGTCTCTCCTCCCCAGAGCCTGAGGAGCAAACTGACCCGAGGTCATGTGGGCCGGACCCCGCTCATTCTGAGGGAAAACGGAGGAAGAACATGGGTCAGCAAATACATACCTTTAGGATCGTTGAGTGTGTTAAGGATAATAATAATAATACATTTAACTTATATAGCGCTTCTCATCTGCCAAGACAAATCTCGAAGCGCTTACAAATAAGTAAAATGATAAGATAAGACTTTATTTATCCCAAAAGATATTGTTGTGCCAGAGTTACAAAAATACAATAAACACAGCAGCATAATAATAAAACTGTACACAAACAGTGGATCAAATATTAAATAACCACAAGAAACATGATGACAGCTACATAAGGATGGGTATCGTTACGGCCCGTCCACACAGCGGCGTGCGTTGAAGCTTCCAACGCTTCTGCCCATTCACTTTGAATGGGGTGACGTCACTTTTAGCCGAACTGCATTTTGGGAAGCGACGTGGAGCGTTGCTGGCGTCAAAAGTTGAGCAATGTTCAACTTTTGATGCCTCGACGGAGGCGTCAGCCAATGAAATCCCGTTTATGCAAATCTGCCAGTACAAGCGCTAGCCAATCAAACCGCGTGTATGCTGGGAGAGACTATGCAGGTCATTTCCTCATATTCAAAAAAATGGAGGGAAAATTCATTGTAGCGGTAGAGAATCACCCGGTGCTGTATGATCAGTCTCTGTTCATCTACCGGGATACAAACCGGAGGAGCGAGGCATGGAGGGAGGAGGCAGAGACAGTGGGTGAAACTGGTAGGTTTTCGCCTGTTTGGGGATTTTATATCCAGTTTACTTCGTTTTAACTTTGCTATTGCTTTGTATGTCGGGGGCGGGAGATTCATGTGATTGGTTGTTGGTCGCAAAAAATCCCCAAGCTTCAGATACGCCCACCGCCAAGCGTCAACGCACGCTGCTGTGTGGACGCTCCGTTAAGGTTTTAACGGTACTACTACTTTTATCGATACCGCTTATTGGTCCGGTCTTTTAACGGTGCTCTTGTCAGTTATTTTGGAGGAAACATATGAGGTAAGCTAACTAACTATATGTCAGATGTACGGATGGAAATGAGCTCAAAGCTAAAATCCGGCATTTTTACACTTGAAGCATTATTTGTCTAAAGTGTTCATTAATGTCCCTATTCAAATAAAAGATTGAATGAAAAATTAAAAAAAACACATTTTGAACAAAACGAAGATTGCTTATTATTATTTAAATTAAATACATAATATTTCACATCAAAAGAAACAACAATGTTTTAACAAAATCGTATTAAATAATCTGATGACAGAACTGTGAACAGAATCGCTGAAACTTTAACTAAATAACTCAGTTTCCTCTAATCATTAATGTTTGTATAACATTAACTCCGTGTGTTGCTGCTAGCATACAGAACACCTGACGTGGAAACGTTACTCGTGGACGGGGCTACAGAGCTGCTAGAAAGACGGTGGAACCCGGTGCATTCCTCCGTCTGAATGTGGAGCGCTTTTGATAAATGTTTAGACACACTGCTCGTGTTACCGCCCTCACATGCTAAACTCTTATTGCACTTTAGTTAACGAGCATCGAGACGGGTAAAGTTTAACCATCTCCTCCGTGTGTGTGTGTGTGTGTGTGTTGCTGCATGTAGCAGCCACGTGTGCGTAAACTGCCCCGCCCCCTCGCAAGCAGGAGGGGGAGAGAGATCTCTCGCTTGGATTGGAAAGATCGAAAATACTAAAAATGTGCAGTCTTATTGCGTATTAGAAACGGAGTTGGCGAAACTAAAACTGCAATATAATGTTTGTGAAGCAATAATACATATGACGTATTTTGTACATGTCTCCAGTACCGAAAAAAAAGACGGTCTTTAATAATTCAGCCCCGGGGCCCGTTTGATACCGGGGCTCGGTACCCATCCCCACAGCTACATCTTAAAAATGTAACTGTGTCTTAGAAGAATGGGAGTCATGTCATTCAACCAAACAGCGCTAATGAGATCTACATGTCTATTAATACTGGAGTTTCTGTTCTAGGTGCCCGATGTTATATTAAGAACCTCAAGACAAACTGAAAACAAATCTGGGAAGAAACACTTCGGGTGCGAAGCCTGTACACCGAACATATTTGAATTACAGAATGAAAAATTACAAGTTTATTATTACCAATGGGACAATAAGGGGAGGAGTCATTTTTAAAGACTTTGGTAACACCAGAAAAGGAGCAACTTTAACATGAGCTCTACATTCCCATGAATACTGGAGTTTCTGTTCGAGATGCTTTTATATGAATAAACTCAAGGTAAGAAATGCCAGCTTCATCATCATCGCTTTACTCACCTTCATCCTCTTCTTCTTCTCTTTCATTCTTCTCTTGAAGCCTTCCTAAAAAGACGAAAGTGTGAATCACAAAGCAATTAATAAAAGATTACAATATAAACATATACCCTACTGCTGTGGTGTATCATGTGATGTATTTGCGAGTAGTTTGTATGTAGTTTTTAGTCTTTTATTAACCTCAGTATTAATGTACTTATAACCGGAAACATATAGTTTTCCAGTATTTTATTTTGAGAGATATAATCCAAAAGACATGTCGTAATAACACATGAAGCCTTACTGGAACTTTAAATACTCGTAAGTATGCAACATTCTGAGATATCTTGTTTCAACAGTTACTTTAAAAACATTTTTAAATGATTACTATAGTTCAGGAAGTATGATACAAAGGTGTGTTACTATGCTAAAAACAAGGGTATAGAGGCCCATCAAAAGAGTCGTGATACTTGGTGATGAGCTTGGTGTGTAATGCTCGCTGTGAAAAGCTGCAGAAATCTTACGTCGTCCTCTTTGCGTTTCTTGAAGATATTGTCCTCTGCGACGCCGACCGCCTGCATGATCAACTCCACTCGCTCCAGATCCACATAGCCGTTGTGTGTAACGTATCCCTGCACACACACGCACACAGGTTAGTATCAGACATGGCAAAAGTACACACATCCTTTACTCAAGTAGAAGTACAGATACTCGTGTTTAAAAATACTCTGGTGAAAGTAGAAGTACTGACTAAACTTCACGTAAGAAGTAGAAAGTACAGGTATTTGAGTTCAAAGTGTAAGAAGTAGAAAGTACAGGTATTTGAGTTCAACATGTAAGAAGTAGAAAGTACAGGTATTTGAGTTCAACATGTAAGAAGTAGAAAGTACAGGTATTTGAGTTCAACATGTAAGAAGTAGAAAGTACAGGTATTTGAGTTCAACATGTAAGAAGTAGAAAGTACAGGTATTTGAGTTCAACATGTGAGAAGTAGAAAGTACAGGTATTTGAGTTCAAAGTGTAAGAAGTCAAAGTAAAAAGTCGTCAGAAAAATAAGTACAGTAATGAAGTATTTGTACTCCACTAGCTCCCGCCTCATTAGTACAAGAGCTTCTTTAAAAGGGAAATCACTCACAACAGGAAACACTTAAGACACAAACCGGTGATAATACTCACTCCAGTTTTGTGCACAACGTCTTTGTAGATGGTGACGAGTCGATCGATCGCTCCCTCTCTGAGACACAAAAACATCTCCGGTTAAAATGACAGACGAGTCATTAAGTGTTCATTTCAGTTAGGATATTTAGCTACAAACCAAATGAGGACTGCGGGATTTGGAAATAAATGCTAATTGACATCATTTTGAGTGATATTGTAATTAAGATATGATTGACAAAAATGCAGGAATTGTAGTTTTTTTGCTCGTGAATTGTTGAACGAGAGGGGTTTATAGGTTGCCATAAGGCTGTTTTATGTATCCATTGGTTGGTTTTGTGGCACATTTGTAACGCTGTGCCAACTTGGGCAAGCACGCAGGCAAACTTGAGCGCACACAGGGTGGAGAGGTGGAGTGAGGTTGAGCGATGGAGAGAAAGGGAGAGAGAGATTGAGCGAGGCAGAGAGCCTGTGCAGCGGTCTGCTTGCGCACAGAGCAGGAGTTTGTGAGAGCCGGCTTGAGAGTAAATTTCTCTTCAAAATATAATTGATTGCCAGCTGACTTGCTTGCTCGTTGGTAACGTAGGCCTAACTGGGTTCTTCTAATGTGCTGCATCTGGCGCTGAGTTGCCATATTCCTTTCGTGAACCACTAGCAAGAGTAAACTAACAGGCTGCTGTGCCGCATCTCACTCAAAAACCCACACGACTCAACCCAGCGAAAAACCAGTCTTGCGCTCAGCCTTTCATTCAGAATTTCCTAGCAAAATAAAAAAATGATATTAAACTAATACAAAAATAAATATTAGGACAAAGCCCTACAAATAACAACAATAAACATAATAATAAAACAATAAAAATGTGGTATTCAGCCCTGATTAACAGCGGGCCCAAATCCTGGATGGGCGGGCCCGGCCCCATGGGGTCTGCCTGGAGCTCACCTGATCTCTAAGGACGGCAGGCAATACGTGTACATTTAAAATTGGGATATTTAGCTCAAGCCAAGTGAGGACTACACGGTTTGGAAAAAGTGCTAATTGACATCATTTTGAGTGATATTGCAGTTTGCGATATGCTTCACATAATTGAAGGAAATGGTAGTTTTTGCATCATAACTCTCCTTTTAGTTGACAATTGTACTAAAATGATTATGGTGGGATTCGTTCAAGAGGATCAGTCTCTTGAATAACATTTCTCAGACCTATGACGCACCAAAAACGTAATTTAAAAACCCCACTTTAACATATATATTGTGCATTTAGACAAACATAGGTTTTACTGGAGCTCACCTGATCTCTAAGGACGGCAGGTGAGGCAGGAAGTCGTTTCCCACGAAGAAGCACATGAAGACCCAGTCGTCTATGCTCCTCTCGAAGTCGAAGGGAAACGGCAGACTGGCCATCGTCAGCTCTCGAGCCAAATACTGAAAACATGGAAAGGAAGAATTAACAACAATGAAGGAGGAAGCAATTACATTATTTATTTCCCAAAAGGAGATAAAGTCTTACCTCTCGCAGCACACAGAGTCTGATGAATATGAACTCCTGCTCAGAACCCGGCATCGAGCCGGCAAATTCATCGTGCTGAAAGAGAGGGAAACAACGGATCAAATATCATTGGTGGTAACATGGCAGCTTCCTAAAGGTCCCCTATTGTGCAACATCCACTTCCTCATGTCTCTTCTACATCACCATGTGTCCCCTCTTCTTCATCAACATGTGTCCCCTCTTCTTCATCAACATGTGTCCCCTCTTCTTCATCAACATGTGTCCCCTCTTCTTCATCAACATGTGTCCCCTCTTCTTCATGTCTCTTCTACATCAACATGTGTCCCCTCTTCTTCATCAACATGTGTCCCCTCTTCTTCATCAACATGTGTCCCCTCTTCTTCATCAACATGTGTCCCCTCTTCTTCATCAACATGTGTCCCCTCTTCTTCATCAACATGTGTCCCCTCTTCTTCATCAACATGTGTCCCCTCTTCTTCATGTCTCTTCTACATCAACATGTGTCCCCTCTTCTTCATCAACATGTGTCCCCTCTTCTTCATCAACATGTGTCCCCTCTTCTTCATGTCTCTCCTACATCAACATGTGTCCCCTCTTCTTCATGTCTCTCCTACATCAACATGTGTCCCCTCTTCTTCATGTCTCTTCTACATCAACATGTGTCCTCTCTTCTACATGTCTCTTCTACATCAACATGTGTCCTCTCTTCTTCATGTCTCTTCTACATCAACATGTGTCCCCTCTTCTACATCAACATGTGTCCCCTCTTCTTCATGTCTCTTCTGCATCAACATGTGTCCCCTCTTCTTCATGTCTCTTCTACATCAACATGTGTCCCCTCTTCTACATCAACATGTGTCCCCTCTTCTTCATGTCTCTTCTTCATCAACATGTGTCCCCTCTTCTTCATGTCTCTTCTACATCAACATGGGTCCCCTCTTCTTCATGTCTCTTCTTCATCAACATGTGTCCCCTCTTCTTCATGTCTCTTCTACATCAACATGTGTCCCCTCTTCTTCATGTCTCTTCTACATCAACATGTGTCCCCCTCTTCTACATGTCTCTTCTACATCAACATGTGTCCCCTCTTCTTCATGTCTCTTCTACATCAACATGTGTCCCCTCTTCTTCATGTCTCTTCTTCATCAACATGTGTCCCCTCTTCTTCATGTCTCTTCTACATCAACATGTGTCCCCTCTTCTTCATGTCTCTTCTTCATCAACATGTGTCCCCTCTTCTTCATGTCTCTTCTACATCAACATGTGTCCCCTCTTCTTCATGTCTCTTCTTCATCAACATGGGTCCCCTCTTCTTCATGTCTCTTCTACATCAACATGTGTCCCCTCTTCTTCATGTCTCTTCTACATCAACATGTGTCCCCTCTTCTTCATGTCTCTTCTACATCAACATGTGTCCCCTCTTCTACATGTCTCTTCTACATCAACATGTGTCCCCTCTTCTTCATGTCTCTTCTACATCAACATGTGTCCCCTCTTCTTCATGTCTCTTCTACATCAACATGTGTCCCCCTCTTCTTCATGTCTCTTCTTCATCAACATGTGTCCCCTCTTCTTCATGTCTCTTCTACATCAACATGTGTCCCCTCTTCTTCATGTCTCTTCTACATCAACACGTGTCCCCTCTTCTTCATGTCTCTTCTACATCAACACGTGTCCCCTCTTCTTCATGTCTCTTCTACATCAACACGTGTCCCCTCTTCTTCATGTCTCTTCTACATCAACATGTGTCCCCTCTTCTTCATGTCTCTTCTTCATCAACATGTGTCCCCTCTTCTTCATGTCTCTTCTACATCAACATGTGTCCCCTCTTCTTCATGTCTCTTCTACATCAACATGGGTCCCCTCTTCTTCATGTCTCTTCTACATCAACATGGGTCCCCTCTTCTCCATGTCTCTTCTACATCAACATGTGTCCCCTCTTCTTCACGTCTCTTCTACATCCACATGTGTCCCCTCTTCTTCATGTCTCTTCTACATCAACATGGGTCCCCTCTTCTTCATGTCTCTTCTACATCAACATGTGTCCCCTCTTCTCCATGTCTCTTCTACATCAACATGTGTCCCCTCTTCTTCATGTCTCTTCTACATCAACATGTGCCTCCTCTTCTTCATGTCTCTTCTACATCAACACGTGTCCCCTCTTCTTCATGTCTCTTCTACATCAACATGTGTCCCCTCTTCTCCATGTCTCTTCTACATCAACATGTGTCCCCTCTTCTCCATGTCTCTTCTACATCAACATGTGTCCCCTCTTCTCCATGTCTCTTCTACATCAACATGTGTCCCCTCTTCTCCATGTCTCTTCTACATCAACACGTGTCCCCTCTTCTTCATGTCTCTTCTACATCAACATGTGTCCCCTCTTCTCCATGTCTCTTCTACATCAACATGTGTCCCCTCTTCTTCATGTCTCTTCTACATCAACATGTGTCCCCTCTTCTTCATGTCTCTTCTACATCAACATGTGTCCCCTCTTCTCCATGTCTCTTCTACATCAACATGTGTCCCCTCTTCTCCATGTCTCTTCTACATCAACACGTGTCCCCTCTTCTTCATGTCTCTTCTACATCAACATGTGTCCCCTCTTCTCCATGTCTCTTCTACATCAACATGTGTCCCCTCTTCTTCATGTCTCTTCTACATCAACACGTGTCCCCTCTTCTTCATGTCTCTTCTACATCAACATGTGTCCCCTCTTCTCCATGTCTCTTCTACATCAACATGTGTCCCCTCTTCTCCATGTCTCTTCTACATCAACATGTGTCCCCTCTTCTCCATGTCTCTTCTACATCAACATGTGTCCCCTCTTCTCCATGTCTCTTCTACATCAACATGTGTCCCCTCTTCTCCATGTCTCTTCTACATCAACACGTGTCCCCTCTTCTTCATGTCTCTTCTACATCAACATGTGTCCCCTCTTCTCCATGTCTCTTCTACATCAACATGTGTCCCCTCTTCTTCATGTCTCTTCTACATCAACATGTGTCCCCTCTTCTCCATGTCTCTTCTACATCAACATGTGTCCCCTCTTCTTCATGTCTCTTCTACATCAACATGTGTCCCCTCTTCTCCATGTCTCTTCTACATCAACATGTGTCCCCTCTTCTTCATGTCTCTTCTACATCAACATGTGTCCCCTCTTCTTCATGTCTCTTCTACATCAACATGTGTCCCCTCTTCTTCCATGTCTCTTCTACATCAACATGTGTCCCCTCTTCTCATGTCTCTTCTACATCAACATGTGTCCCCTCTTCTCCATGTCTCTTCTACATCAACATGTGTCCCCTCTTCTTCATGTCTCTTCTACATCAACATGTGTCCCCTCTTCTCATGTCTCTTCTACATCAACATGTGTCCCCTCTTCTCCATGTCTCTTCTACATCAACATGTGTCCCCTCTTCTTCATGTCTCTTCCACATCAACATGTGTCCCCTCTTCTTCATGTCTCTTCTACATCAACATGTGTCCCCTCTTCTTCATGTCTCTTCTACATCACATGTGTCCCCTCTTCTTCATGTCTCTTCTACATCAACACGTGTCCCCTCTTCTTCATGTCTCTTCTACATCAACACGTGTCCCCTCTTCTTCATGTCTCTTCTACATCAACACGTGTCCCCTCTTCTTCATGTCTCTTCTACATCAACATGTGTCCCCTCTTCTTCATGTCTCTTTTACATCAACATGTGTCCCCTCTTCTCCATGTCTCTTCTACATCAACAAGGATGAGTGTTCTCCTGGACTCACCTCTCCCTGCTTCTCTCGAGCCACGCCCTGGCACTCTTTGAGTTCGTGTCCGACCTGGTTGCAGAGGGCGCAGGGTCTCGGTTTGTTGGGTTTGAACTCCTCTCTGATGATGGTGAAGTTGGGCTCGTGGGTAGCCAGGCCCAGCATGATCAGATCAGCTGAACATCAACACATGGGAGGGGGAGAACGGTTAATAATGAACACATATTGGCTTAGAAAGTAGTCAAAAAACAATACATCAAGGTCACTTCAGACTGGAACATGAATTACTTGTATAAAATCTTATTGATTTCACATTTAGGAGCATCATTTAAAGGCTTACCGTCAGCTCCACACAGGCAGTGGTGTGTGTTCGGGTCGTGGTTGGGTTGAGCTGCAAAATAGAATCACAAACAAGAGTCAATATAATGTTTGTCAGCTTGTGTTTGTAGAGTATTTGTTTTAGTCTCAGATCAAAGTCTTAACATGAACACATTCATTTTTCTTCCACAGTATTTCAAGTGTGAGAAATGCTAGAATTAATGCACAATATTCTCGTGTGTATTCACGTTTATGTTGTGAAAGTTTGAAGCACTGTTAATGCCGTTTAAGCTAAACTGTGTGGTTTTGTTTCTGCTCTCCTTCGCACTGTACCTCTCTGTCTCCGGATGTAGTCCATGATCTTGTGTTCACCTTCACCGGGAACACTGGCATCAGACAGAATCACCTGGATAAATACAAAGTGAATAAAGGTTATATACATGAACACTTTTCACATCAACAACCAGCGCATTACATGCAGACTTCCAAGATATTGAAACAAACAAAGTTCAAAAGGCCCATTTATTCTAATCTTGATACCATAACATTTTTGTGTTTTGCCTAACAAAATGTCCAAGGTTTCTTGTTCAAAACACACTTTTACATATCTGTTGTATTAATGGGGTATAAAATATATACGGTTATTATCAGGGACGCGGGAAGTCAGTCAGAGTTGGGGTTGCAGGGGGTGCTAGTGGAGCCTTGCAGCGGAGACACTGTGGCGTTCTGGGGGGGGGGGTGCTAGTGGAGCCTCGCAGCGGAGACACTGTGGCGTTCTGGGGGGGGTGCTAGTGGAGCCTCGCAGCGGAGACACTGTGGCGTTCTGGGGGGGGGGTGCTAGTGGAGCCTCGCAGCGGAGACACTGTGGCGTTCTGGGGGGGTGCTAGTGGAGCCTCGCAGCGGAGACACTGTGGCGTTCTGGGGGGGGGGTGCTAGTGGAGCCTCGCAGCGGAGGAACTGTGGAGCGCTGGGGGGGGGGTGCTAGTGGAGCTTCGTAGCGGAGGAACTGTGGAGCGCTGGGGGGGTGCTAGTGGAGCCTCGCAGCGGAGGAACTGTGGAGCGCTGGGGGGGGTGCTAGTGGAGCCTCGCAGCGGAGACACTGTGGCGTTCTGGGGGGGGGGGGTGCTAGTGGAGCCTCGCAGCGGAGACACTGTGGCGTTCTGGGGGGGTGCTAGTGGAGCCTCGCAGCGGAGACACTGTGGCGTTCTGGGGGGGGGGTGCTAGTGGAGCCTCGCAGCGGAGACACTGTGGCGTTCTGGGGGGGTGCTAGTGGAGCCTCGCAGCGGAGACACTGTGGCGTTCTGGGGGGGGGTGCTAGTGGAGCCTCGCAGCGGAGGAACTGTGGAGCGCTGGGGGGGGGGGTGCTAGTGGAGCTTCGTAGCGGAGGAACTGTGGAGCGCTGGGGGGGTGCTAGTGGAGCCTCGCAGCGGAGGAACTGTGGAGCGCTGGGGGGGGGGCTAGTGGAGCCTCGCAGCGGAGGAACTGTGGAGCGCTGGGGGGGTGCTAGTGGAGCCTCGCCAGCGGAGGAACTGTGGAGCGCTGGGGGGGGGTGCTAGTGGAGCCTCGCAGCGGAGGAACTGTGGAGCGCTGGGGGGGGTGCTAGTGGAGCTTCGTAGCGGAGGAACTGTGGAGCGCTGGGGGGGTAGGTGCTAGTGGAGCCTCGCAGCGGAGGAACTGTGGAAGCGCTGGGGGGGGTGTGCTAGTGGAGCCTCGCAGCGGAGGAACTGTGGAGCGCTGGGGGGGGGGGTGCTAGTGGAGCCTCGCAGCGGAGGAACTGTGGAGCGCTGGGGGGGGGGTGCTAGTGGAGCCTCGCAGCGGAGGAACTGTGGCGCTCTGGGGGGGGGGGTGCTAGTGGAGCTTCGTAGCGGAGGAAACTGTGGAGCGCTGGGGGGGGGGGTGCTAGTGGAGCCTCACAGCGGAGGAACTGTGGCGCTCTGGGGGGGGGAGTAGTGGAGCCTCGCAGCGGAGGAACTGTGGAGCGCTGGGGGGCGGTGCTAGTGGAGCTTCGTAGCGGAGGAACTGTGGAGCTCTGGGGGGGGGGGTGCTAGTGGAGCCTCGCAGCGGAGGAACTGTGGAGCGCTGGGGGGCGGTTGCTAGTGGAGCTTCGTAGCGGAGGAACTGTGGCGCTCTGGGGGGGGGGGTGCTAGTGGAGCCTCGCAGCGGAGGAACTGTGGAGCGCTGGGGGGCGGTGCTAGTGGAGCTTCGTAGCGGAGGAACTGTGGAGCGCTGGGGGGGGTGCTAGTGGAGCCTCGCAGCGGAGGAACTGTGGAGCGCTGGGGGGCGGTGCTAGTGGAGCTTCGTAGCGGAGGAACTGTGGCGCTCTGGGGTGGGGGTGCTAGTGGAGCCTCGCAGCGGAGGAACTGTGGAGCGCTGGGGGGCGGTGCTAGTGGAGCTTCGTAGCGGAGGAACTGTGGCGCTCTGGGGGGGGGGGGGTGCTAGTGGAGCCTCGCAGCGGAGGAACTGTGGAGCGCTGGGGGGCGGTGCTAGTGGAGCTTCGTAGCGGAGGAACTGTGGAGCGCTGGGGGGGGTGCTAGTGGAGCCTCGCAGCGGAGGAACTGTGGAGCGCTGGGGGGGGTGCTAGTGGAGCCTCGCAGCGGAGGAACTGTGGAGCGCTGGGGGGGGGGTGCTAGTGGAGCCTCGCAGCGGAGGAACTGTGGAGCGCTGGGGGGGGGGCTGGTGGAGCCTCGCAGCGGAGGAACTGTGGCGCTCTGGGTGGGGGGGGTGCTAGTGGAGCTTCGTAGCGGAGGAACTGTGGAGCGCTGGGGGGGGGTGCTAGTGGAGCCTCACAGCGGAGACACTGTGGCGTTCTGGGGGAGCGCTAGTGGCGCTTCGTAGCGGGGGAACTGTGGAGCGCTTACACTGTAGGTGAGCCACGTTTGGGGGTGCGGCTGCTAGAGGAGCCTCGTAGATGGGGGTGCTGCAGCCCCCTCAGCACCCCCCCTTCCCGCGTCCATGGTTATAATAAATGCAACGAATGTAATGATATCAAAAAGTATGAAGTTGTATTGCATGATTCTGCCATGACAGTATGATTGCCATATCTATAGAACATTTGATGAAAAAATATGGCCATCAGTGAAGCTATTATTTAACATTGTGTGTCATGTCTTGTTTTTGGCGACCAACTACACTTCAAATACGTGGTAGAGTATGCAACACAACATCACACAATACCAGCATTATGCTCCGAAATGTTTAGTCTGTATTCAAAGTCCGAGCAGTGAAGTTACCGTGACGTTCTTCCAGCCCGGATCATTGCTGATTCTCTCTGCGACGTAATATCTGAGACACTGAGCCAAGTTATCCATGAACTCTGTTCCCTGCAGACAAAACAAGATCAAATCTGTTATTCTGATGATACAAAGAATATATTTACAACACTTGGAAAATAAGGCTCCTCGTCCTCAGTGAGTTTTTTCTTGCAATTTGGCATCATAACCAAAAAGAGAGAATGTACTTAGAGTTTATAACAAGAAGCCACTTACTGGAGTGATGCAGTTGCTGTCAAATCTCTCTTTAATCTCGTCAGGTGGAAGATAACCTCCTGTAGAGGAAATAAAACAAGTTAGTTTACACAGAGCATCAAGTGGTATTGGAGAAGTAGGATAAACGTACAAAAACACAGAAAAGCATAGAATAATTAGACTGTAAACTGTATGGAGGATTCATTAATATATCCAGAGTTGTTTGATTGAATCATCTCATGGTTTTTGAACTCGCTGGTCAATGTTGAGTGATGTCAAACAACACTTCAGATTAAATGTTAACATCCAAAGATAACTAGTAGTACACCTGCTGTTTTAAAAGTCTGGATCTGCTCTTAAATCAACACAAACTATTTTTCCATCTCATTTGCCGTTAACAATCAGTATTTCCTGTCCTTGAGCTCAGATCAAAATGCCTTGCCGTGTTCAGTTTCATCAGAGCTATTTAGCCATCCTCCACTCTGCAGGTATTCAAAACACACACACCTTTCCCGATGACCTCCTCTCGGATGCGAGTCTTCTCCTCCACCAGCTCTGCTCCTTCTTTGGAGGCTCGGAAACGGCGAGAGCGCTGCTGGTTCATCTTGGCGCGTGGAGCCTGGCGGTGTAAACAAAGGATTAGACATATCAGCTTGTATTAACCCAGATGACATTAAAGAGGTTGTTATTTTTCTTCTTTGCCTGCTTGCAAAGCGCTTTGAGAACCAGGAAACACGTGTATTATTGTTATTATCAATGTGCTGTCTGTCTGGATTAGGGTTCACTGCTTCAGTATTCTCTCTCTCTCTATATTTATAACTCTAATACATGGTGGATTCTCTGGCAGATGTTTACTTATTTTAGCCACATTTTTCTGTTTAAACACTGAAAGTAACTTACCACTCCATCGATGGCCATGTAGAGAACTCTCCTGGGCCGCACGATATTGAACAGGCGGTCGATGTACTCAAAAATGGCGACCATCATCTCGTCTTCATTTTTTGGGGCAGCTCTGTGGACAGCAGAGGGCAGAATGTGAGCACAGTTTTAAGCCCTAGATTTAGGGTCCATACGCCTAATTAAAAAAATACAATTTTAAAACTCCCCGTCTGCATAAAGGAAAACAGACTCGTGTTGTATAATAACTTAAAACATTCAATAAATAGGACGCAATCCCTTTGGAAAACACTCAAATGTGTAACTTTTAAACCCTTTTATTACAACAATACATCCAGGTTTGATTATAAAAACGAAATACTTCATTTTTGGTGATATTTAACTTCTTTAAATCACTTGCAATGCAATCTAGGGATTCAGCCACTTGTGATTTAAAGATCTATTAATGTAATGATGATTATACAGAAGTTATTTTAAAGAATACTAATTAGTTGGCATTAGGGCGGCACGATATATCGTGCTGTGACGATAATCACGATATGCGCGATAGTTACATCGCAGGACGTACGATATTAAGTAGGCAAATGAACTCAAACACGTCATGTTACAATTATTTTGCTACAAAACGAAAAACTGCTACCCCCTGATTCAAAGTTCAGCGCACTATTCACTGATCCACAGCCTCCCCTTGTTGCTCTGATAACTTAAGATCCAGACGTCCGTGACTAAAATCCTTCATCCGGTTAAATATAGTTGTATTGTATAGCATTAAAGTTCAAGAAAGGACGGTCTTTTCTTCAATTCCTGTATTTTTTCATATCGCAGGGGAAAAAATATCGCAATGTCACTTTTTTCCAATATCGTGCAGCCCTAGTTTGCATATGTGTTAACTATCAGAGAAGTCTGGACTCATGGGAAGAGTCACATTTAAAGTCCCTCTGCTACTTCAGCACCACGGACAGACACTAATGGCACGTTTCCACTGCAGCTCGCTTTAAGCGAGCCGTGCAGGGCCCGTTTTTGGTTGCGTTTCCACTTGGCCTAGTACCGGCTAGCGGGTTCTAATTCACAGTTTTTCTGGCCCCATAAAATCGTGGTTCTAGGGCCAGGAACAACCAGGCTGAGTCGGGCTGAGTATGCTAAACTGGAGAGAGAATCGCTGGCAAGGGGGCTACAACTACAACAAGATGAACATATTTGACCGTGATTTAATTGTAATACACGTTTCAAAATGATGCCGAAGTAACAACATACTGATACCGGTTAGTAAAAACCATGAATTAATGCTTTGACAAGTCTGCAGACAGACGGCAGAGAAACACCTTTTAAAATGCGTGTTTTCTGAATGTAGCTTGGCTAAGCTAACGTTATATATGCTCCGACCGTCCACACTCACAACAACGGCCTACAGACATAAATAAACCAGCGACTGTATTCTCCATGACACAGGCAGTCTGTGGTTTGTACTTGTTTAACTTTTGTCTAGTTTCTGAACAGATATGAGGAGCTTTGAGCTCTGAGTGCTAACAGCTAACGGCTGCGTTGTTTTTCTGGGGCTCTCATTGAAGATGACGTCACGGCTCCGCCTACACTGCGTTACTATAGTAACTGCCCCAGTTCCTAAACTGTAATGGAAGCGCAGCATTAAAGTGAGCCGGGCCTAATAAGGCCTAACCAAACCGAGCGAGGCCGAGCGAGGCCTGCAGTGGAAACGCGCCATAATACATAGATATTATTACACAGCAGTTAAGCTACTGAAACAGAGACAAGCGTTACGTTTCAAGCCAACTTGCTAAAAGTTATTGGTACATTAAAACAGATAATGTATTGAGTGTTTCGTACTTGTCCTCTGGATGTGTGCAGGGGTGAATGATCCCGTTCATGTCCAAGTACAAATTGTCAAATTCCACCTCGTTGGGGTTAGGCTTTGTCGTATCAACAGGAATGCAGACGCCGTTACATTCTTTCCCCTGTGAAGACAAAGAGCACAATTAAGCTTTCGTGAAGAAAACACAACAGAAGCTAGACACCAGACGCTCAAGAGACAAGTACAATGTTTCGCTACATTTCAATGCTTTGAGTATAAGATGTTGCATTGTATTTCAGCTCAAAGTAGAGGTGGTTAAGGTAAGGTAAGTTTGAAAGCCGAAGTCATTGGGTCACATGACATGGAAGCTGATGAAAAGCTATGAGAATTTCCCCCCAAAAAACTGCAGATCTTTCATTAATTTTTTTTGTAGCACTAAAATCCAAATTAAAGTGGTGTATCCTACTTGTCTGATGGGCTATTACAATGCTAGATTGATTTAAAGTCACTTGGTAATATGACAGAAGAAGAAGAAACTGCTGAATTGTACTCTTAATTTCAAGCTACTGTACACATATTTTAATGTATATAGTACACTATGTTTATATGTCCAGTAGATAGGTATATTAGACAGACACTGTATTGATCCCAAATGGGGTGTTCAGGGATTAAAATCTTTTAAAAAAGGTGGAAAGAAGTATAAACAAGGATTCTATAAATTCTGTATATTGTATAATGCCTAGTTCCTCATCTGAATATAGGTATTCTTCACTGAGAATACGTATATAGTGTTTTATAATTGTTATATATATTCGAAACAGAAAATGGCGGACAATCACCCTGTTGACTAGAGAGCATGAAACGTAAGACTAATTTCAATAAATTTAAAACAAGTTATAATGGAGGTTTTTTGTTGGTACTCCAGAGATAAGAATACGATCTTCTTCTCCTTGCTCCTTTCCATCATGGGCTAATACAGTTATATAATAATTGCCATGGAGTGGAACAAACAAATAAATAACCACGCAATTTTGTTTACAATCTCACAAATTAAACCACAAACATCCGGGTCTCTGTGGCGTCGGTGACGAACACAAACATTAAAAACACAACAAAAATGAACTTTCAACGCAGCATTAATAGCAAAAAAAAACACATATCAGCTTGTGATAAGAATAAAATGCATTTATAAACGGTCAAAATAGTTAAAATGTTCCCGCCAACGTGAATGCGACATGTACCCGAGCAGATGCTATCATGCTAACATGCTAACCCTTACCTTCTCCTCAACACAATGCACAACGATTGAAGCATATTTTCGGCTAAGCCAACGGAAAAACGCCGGGACTCCCATCTTCGGTGAACAGTGGCTTCTCTCTCAGCGTATAAAAAGTGTGAAATGTTAAAGAAACAGTTAAAATAGCTTAAGTTAAAACACGAGTTGTTTGGATGAAATCAACTCTTCGGCTACATGCTGTTGGGCCGTTAAGAACTGTTTCCGGTTCACTCGGCTTTTACCGGAGCACCTCGTAGAGCCGAGTGTACCCACAGCGTCCCCGAACGGTCACAAGCGGTACTGCAGTGGCAGAATCAGTGCGTAATACGATATAAGATAAGATAAGAAGTACTTTATTGATCCCGATTTGGGAAATGTTTGCGTTGCAACAGCATAAAAAGACAAGGAGAAGTTAAAAGACTAAGATATACAATCCAAAACGTCTCAAATTGAAATAAAATAGCATTAAAAAAGTAAAAAATATACAGGTGGAAATACAAACATACATAGTCTCGCTGTTCAATCTTTTTTTTAAGGTTTTCTCAGTGATGACAGAAAGCAGACGTAATATTGGGGCCAAAATTGGCCATTTCAAGAAAGATGTGTCCCAAGTGTCCCCAGTGCAAATGATGCCATGGTTGTATTAGAATAAACATAATTTAAAGGAACATATTTGCAAATAAAGTTAATGGGAGATGGCGTCTGAAATAACATTTTCAATGCAGAGCTTGTAACACGTTATTTATACAGTGCATTTAAAAGTATAACTTTCACAAAGAAATGTAATAAACAAGAACACTGGTTTAGTGTCAAGATGTGCAATGTTGACATGTTCGTAGACTTTTAACAGAAAATGTAAAAAAAATGTAAAAACCATTTCTCCCGTTTTGCAGCAGCAGGGAGCAGATTATAAAAATCACTAAAAGAGGATTACAAATAGACTTTTAAATCAACAATTACATATAAAACATTTATTAAAATGCAATAAAAATAAAGACCTACTACTGATTTTTTAATAAATTGTAAATAAATGGTCATAATTGTTGAATAATTGAAAATACAGCTTTCAATTTAAATGCAACACTTAAAGTCACAGAGTGTGTGTGTGATGTAGTGTGTGTGATGTAGTGTGTGTGCAGTGTGTGTGATCTAGTGTGTGTGATGTAGTGATGATGTAGTGACGATGTAGTGATGATGTAGTGTGTGTGACAGTGTATGTGATGTAGTGTATGTGCAGAGTGTGTGATGTAGTGTGTGATGTAGTGTGTGTGATGTAGTGTGTGATGTAGTGTGTGTGCAGAGTGTGTGTGCAGTGTGTGTGATGTAGTGTGTGATTCAGTGTGTGTGCAGTGTGTGTGATGTAGTGTGTGTGACAGTGTGTGTGATCTAGCAGTCTGTAATTGTTTTGTCCTGATGTGACATAATGTTTCTTTAATGGAGACTCTCTGCTCTGATGCCCTCTCGCTTCCCATCCTGCAGCTCCACATTTAAGGTGAATTAGATGTTTCTCTCATACAGTTGGTGTGTGTGTGTGTGTGTGTGTGTGTGTGTGGGTGTGTGTGTGTGTGTGTGTGTGTGTGTGTGTGTGTGTGTGTGTGTGTGTGGGTGTGGGTGTGTGTGTGTGTGTGTGTGTGTGTGGATGTGGGTGTGTGTGTGTGTGTGGGTGTGGGTGTGTGTGTGTGTGTGTGTGTGTGTGTGTGTGTGTGTGTGTGTGTGTGTGTGTGTGTGGGTGTGTGTGATCTAGTGTGTGTGATGGGGGGGGGGGGGAGCCATTAGCCTCCCCTCTTCAGGCAGCCTGACACCAACACTGTATCATTACTGCAAAGAGCTGCTGATGGAAAACACTTGGCCTGCTCCGACGGGCCATTTCCAAAAACATTTACGCTGCAGCTGCTGGTAGAAACCATAGACTGGTAGAAACCATAGACTGGTAGAAACCATAGACTGGTAGAAACCATAGACTGGTAGAAACCATAGACAGGTAGAAACCATAGACTGGTAGAAATCATAGACTGGTAGAAACCATAGACAGGTAGAAACCATAGACTGGTAGAAACCATAGACTGGTAGAAACCATAGACAGGTAGAAACCATAGACTGGTAGAAACCATAGACAGGTAGAAACCATAGACTGGTAGAAACCATAGACTGGTAGAAACCATAGACTGGTAGAAACCATAGACTGGTAGAAACCATAGACTGGTAGAAACCATAGACAGGTAGAAACCATAGACAGGTAGAAACCATAGACTGGTAGAAACCATAGACTGGTAGAAACCATAGACAGGTAGAAACCATAGACTGGTAGAAACCATAGACTGGTAGAAACCATAGACTGGTAGAAACCATAGACTGGTAGAAACCATAGACTGGTAGAAACCATAGACTGGTAGAAACCATAGACTGGTAGAAACCATAGACTGGTAGAAACCATAGACAGGTAGAAACCATAGACTGGTAGAAACCATAGACAGGTAGAAACCATAGACAGGTAGAAACCATAGACTGGTAGAAACCATAGACAGGTAGAAACCATAGACTGGTAGAAACCATAGACAGGTAGAAACCATAGACGGTAGAAAACCATAGACAGGTAGAAACCATAGACATGGTAGAAACCATAGACTGGTAGAAACCATAGACTGGTAGAAACCATGACAGGTGAAACCATAGACAGGTAGAAACCATAGACATGGGTAGAAACCATAGACTGGTAGAAAACCATAGACTGGTAGAAACCATAGACTGGTAAAACCATAGACTGGTAGAAACCATAGACAGGTAGAAACCATAGACAGGTAGAAACCATAAGACAATGTTAGAAACCATAGACTGGTAGAAAACCATAGACTGGTAGAAACCATGAAAACCATGGTAGAAACCATAAGACCTGGTAGAAACCATAGACAGGTAGAAAACCATAGACTGGTTAAGAAACCATAGACATGGTAGAAACAATAGACATGTAAGAAACCATAGACAGGTAGAAACCATAGACAGGTAGAAACCATAGACTGGTAGAAACCATAGACTGGTAGAAACCATAGACATGGTAGAAACCATAGACTGGTAGAAACCATAGACAGGTAGAACCATAGGGTAGAAACCATAGACTGGTAGAAACCATAGACTGGTAGAAACCATAGACAGGGTAGAAACCATAGACTGGTAGAAACCATAGACTGGTAGAACCATAGACTGGTAGAAACCATAGACATGGTAGAAACCATAGACTGGTAGAAACCATAGACAGGTAGAAACCATAGACAGGTAGAAACCATAGACTGGTAGAAACCATAGACTGGTAGAAACCATAGACATGGTAGAAACCATAGACACTGGTAGAAACCATGGACTGGTAGAAACCATAGACTGGTAGAACCATAGACTAGGTAGAAACCATAGACTGGTAGAAACCATAGACATGGTATGAAACCATAGACAGGTAGAAACCATAGACTGGTAGAAACCATAGACTGGTAGAAACCATAGACAGGTAGAAACCATAGACAGGTAGAAACCATAGACTGGTAGAAACCATAGACTGGTAGAAACCATAGACTGGTAGAAACCATAGACTGGTAGAAACCATAGACAGGGTAGAAACCATAGACAGGTAGAAACCATAGACTGGTAGAAACCAGACCTGGTAGAAAACCTAGACGGTAGAAACCATAGACTGTAGAAACCATAGACAGGGTAGAAACCATAGACAGGTAGAAACCATAGACAGGTAGAAACCATAGACCTGGTAGAAACCATAGACTGGTAGAAACCATAGACTGGTAGAAACCATAGACTGGTAGAAACCATAGACAGGTAGAAACCATAGACTGTAGAAACCATAGACTGGTAGAAACCATAGACTGGTAAAAACCATAGACTGGTAGAAACCATAGACTGGTAGAAACAATAGACAGGTAGAAACCATAGACTGGGTAGAAACCATAGACAGGTAGAAACCATAGACATGTAGAAACCATAGACTGGTAGAAACCATAGACATGGTAGAAACCATAGACTGGTAGAAACCATAGACATGGTAGAAACCATAGACAGGTAGAAACCATAGACAGGTAGAAACCATAGACTGGTAGAAACCATAGACTGGTAGAAACCATAGACTGGTAGAAACCATAGACAGGTAGAAACCATAGACAGGTAGAAACCATAGACAGGTAGAAACCATAGACTGGTAGAAACCATAGACTGGTGGAAACCATAGACTGGTAGAAACCATAGACTGGTAGAAACCATAGACAGGTAGAAACCATAGACTGGTAGAAACCATAGACAGGTAGAAACCATAGACAGGTAGAAACCATAGACTGGTAGAAACCATAGACAGGTAGAAACCATAGACTGGTAGAAACCATAGACTGGTGGAAACCATAGACAGGTAGAAACCATAGACAGGTAGAAACCATAGACAGGTAGAAACCATAGACAGGTAGAAACCATAGACTGGTAGAAACCATAGACTGGTAGAAACCATAGACTGGTAGAAACCATAGACTGGTAGAAACCATAGACAGGTAGAAACCATAGACAGGTAGAAACCATAGACTGGTAGAAACCATAGACTGGTAGAAGATAGAAGAAACCATAGACACGGTAGAAACCATAGACTGGTAGAAGAAACCATAGAATGGTAGAAACCATAGACAGGTAGAAACCATAGACAGGTAAAACCATAGACTGGTAGAAACCATAGACTGGTAGAAACCATAGACTGGTAGAAAACCATAGACTGGTAGAAACCAGAGACAGGTAGAAAACCATAGACAGGTAGAAACATAGACTGGTAGAAACCATAGACTGGTAGAACCATAGACTGGTAGAAACCATAGACTGGTAGAAACCATAGACAGGTATGAAACACATAGACTGGTAGAAACCATAGACAGGTAGAAACCATAGACAGGTAGAAACCATAGGACTGGTAGAAACCATAGACTGGTAGAAACCATAGACAGGTAGAAACCATAGACAGGTAGAAACCATAGACAGGTTAGAAACCATAGACTGGTAGAAACCATAGACTGGTGGAAACCATAGACTGGTAGAAACCATAGACTGGTAGAAACCATAGACTGGTAGAAACCATAGACTGGTAGAAACCATAGACAGGTAGAAACCATAGACAGGTAGAAACCATAGACTGGTAGAAACCATAGACAGGTAGAAACCATAGACTGGTAGAAACCATAGACTGGTGGAAACCATAGACAGGTAGAA